GGAAGATTAAAACCACACAGTGCTTTTATGAGAATTATGCTACGTGAACCTAGTATCATAAAGACCATTCTTGTAGACTGTGTATGAGGACAAGGAGGGGAGCTGGGGCCTTAAACACAGGGTCGCACAATTTGATGGGTGGAGGGAGGGACTGGTAAATGAAAGGGGAAAGGTGCGGTGTGAAAAACAATGTATATGAACCTTATGAATTTTTTTATGAATTTTGTATGTAAACCAGTATAAAATGACCTAACTTGAGAGGGACTGAAGAACATTATGCTGAGTGAACTCACTCAGTCCCACAGGGACAAATACTGTATAAAGCCATTATTGTAGAATGAGTATGAGGACCCAAGGGGTGGGGAGGGCGGATGCAGATGGGTCAGAATGTATGCGGGCGGTATTAATCATGGGGTTGTGCATTCCATTAGGGGGGTGAGGGAAATGGGGAGGATGTGGTGTGAAAAACAATGTATTTGAATTCTGTAAATAAACTAGTATTAAAAACCAAACAAAATAAAACCCCCAAACCCCACCCTGCTGAGGCAGTCCGAAAGATGGTGAGTCCTTTCAGAAATTTGGTGCCAGCAAGCCTTGAGGACAGGTGTGTCCGAGACAGTGAGCCTGGCTGGGATGAGCAGGGTTCAGAGCTACCGGACACAAGGTCTCTATGAGCACATAACAACATAACAACAGTAACAACATAACAACAGTAACAACATAACAACAGTAACAACATAACAACAGTAACAAGCCATGCACAGGTGCTCAGTTGATGAACTTGCACAGACCAAAGGCTACAGTTGCGAAGCCAAATCCTGGATGAGGAGGGGCTATGCACTGGAGGCAAAGAAACTAATACTTCAACACAAAATGTGTGATTCAACAAATCACAAATAGGGCAGAGGGCAGAGCTGTTGCTCGTAGGGTGGTGATCAGTCAAAGTTGATGCGATGACATCCAATAACAAGCACATGGGTGACCTTGCTGGGATGTGCAATGCTGGTGGTGTCACTGCCAGCGTCACACCACATGCAAGTCACCCAACTTACAGCCAAATGACAGACAAGCACTGTCCCCGTAACAGCGCATGCATACACACACACACACCCACACACAAACACACACACACACACACACACAGAGAGTCAACTCCCAGGCTGCAAGCTGACTAGTAAGTTCTGACTCCTAAGTCCAATCGCTGACCCTCCAGCGGGTGGTCAAGGCTGTAAAGAGCAGGGGAGCAGACTGGCCCTCTTACTCCCACAGAGCAGCGGGGGGATTTGAACCACCTGCCTTTGGAACTGCAGCTTCTTACCCTAGGCCACCATGTCAGAGCAAAGCATAAAACAAGCAAGCACACAAATACCAATCAACAGGCATGAGTGCGGTGGGGTACAGAAAACACAGTCTTACCTGGGCTCCGTCCCTGCCTGCCCGGCACATGCTGGACTTGCGGTGCCCCCCTGGACCAGTTCCTGCTCCCCTGAGTGGGGAGTGCCTCTTCCAGCCCCATTGTGTCACATGGGTGTGTGGCAGGTGTGTCACAGTTATGTCCCAGGTGTGTAGCAGGTACGTCACAGGTCTGTCACAAGTGTGTCGTAGGTGTGTCACACAGGTGTGTTCTCAGGCGCCCCCTCTGGAGTTCTGTCGGCAGCTGTTCAAGATAGCACCTGGGGCCACTTCCAGTTGTGACGTCACCGCAGGTGGCTGTTCCACCTGCAACACACGATAGTGTACATGACCAGAAAGTCTGGTGGCACAATTAACCCATCTTGTCTTCTGTCCCTATCTTGTCCATGGTCTTACAGAAAGGTTGAGTCATTTACCTTGTTTCTAGGGCCTTAATATTTGAAATGTGGGCCTCACATTAGCACCTTTGCCTTCATTACGAGCTTGAGAAAAAAAGAGACTCTTCGGTCCTTCCACAGACCTGCTCATCCAGCCACACCTGCAGTTCCACACAGGCTCAGGTGAGGTGAAGGACATTTGACTCGGGGAGCACTGGCCTAGGGCTTCGCGTGCTTCAGGGCTCGCAGATACGTAAGAAGTATTGGTTGAGTTGCCTGTGAAGCTAAATGTGATGCACAACGTTTGAGGATTTCCCTCTAATGAGGATGGCTATCTATGTTCCTCATTCTCCTCACAATTTAAAAACTATTGTTTACTTTTTTTGTTTTGCATTAACAGCCCTATTAGCAAGAGAAGGATCAGAAATCTCCTCCCGTGTGATTTAACTGCGTCTGAAAACCCACCAGAAGGTCAGCTATGCGCCAGTTCCAACTCAACGGGACACAACGACTTGGTGATTTAGAAGACATGCCTCTCAGAACCTAAGTCTGCAAGAATATAATGGAAAAACTGTGGCTTGAAAGGAACCAGTGCTCTCCCCATCTCTACAGTCTCAGGAGTTCTTTCTCTAAAAGAGCTTTAAAAGCTTTCAGGAGCAGTTGGTATACACAATAGGAGCCCACGCCTCGAAAAACTTCAAGTCTCTATTATCCAGAAGCATCCTTTTCAGATCAAGGAACAAATGCCCCTCACATCCAAAACAAATCCCAACTACCTATTCAGGCAATGGCCTGAAAATAATTTCTATTGTTTTTAAAAACAAGCTCTCTGTACAATACTGGATTTAAAACAAAGAAAGCTTTCTTTCTACTAAGTCATGAGCCCACTATGAATAATTGATAACGCAGGGTGCCTGACAGACTTTACACAGCGAGAGACAGCGTGAGACAGCACAGCTCTAGCCTGCTCCAAGAGTTGCCCAGCTGTGGCCGAGATCTGTGTCCAGGATGTTTTCACTCTCCTCCTCCAGGCCACGTGTTAGACAGATGACACAACCTTCCTTGCAAAAAATGAGGAGGGCTTGAAACATTTGTGGCAGAAGCTCAGAGACTACAGCCTTCAATATGGATTACATGTCAACATCAAGAAAATTAAAATTCAGAAGGATGTGTCAAGGAAATGGGAAAGATCCAGTGTGAAAAACAATATATATGAACTTTGTAAGTAAGTATAAAATAAAAATGTTATTTTTTAAAAATAAAATAAAAATCTTCACCACAGAACCAATAGACAATATCATAATGGAAAGAAAATATTGACATTTCCAACATTTTACTTGGCTCCATAATCAACAACCACGGTAACAGCAGTCAAGAAATCAAAACACATGTTGCGTTGGGGATATCTGCTGTCAAAGACCTCTCCAAAGGACTATTAGAGCAAGGATGTCAGTTTAAAGACTAAGGCAAACCTGATGTTGTTGTTGTTATGTGCCGTTGAGTCGCCTGCCCTAAGCCCTACAAAAGCCCTAAACCCTGTTCTATCCTGTGCCAATCTTATTGTCTCTAACACACTTACTCCCATTATCCCAGTTACTGAATCGATCCATCTCATCGACGGTCTTCCTTTCTTGCATTGTTCCTCCACCCTCCCAAACATGATGTCCCTCTCTAAGGACTGGTCCCTCCTTGTAACATATCCAAAGTAATCAGACGAAGCTTCAGAATCCTTGCCCCCAAGAAGCATCCCAGTTTCACCCTCTCCAAGACAAACACTCTTGGTACCAGCAGCCAGGAAATCAAGAGACAAATTGCACTGGGAAAGTCAGCTGTCAGGGACCTCTCCAAAGTACTGAAGAGTAACGACGATAGTCTGGAGACTAAGGTGCACCTGATCCAGGCCACAGTCTTCGCAATTGCTTGCTATGCATCAGAGAGCTGGGCAATGACTAGGGATGATAGAAAGAGAATCGATGCCTTTCAGCTGTGATGCTGGAGAAGCGTGTTGAATATACCATGGACTGTTAGGAAAACAGACTGAACCTGATCTAAGCCAGTCTTTTCAACTGCTTCTATGAAAGTTTGATAATGAATGGGAATGAGAGAAGAAAAAGTGACGCCTCTGAATTGTGCTGTTGGGAGTACTGAATATCCTATGGGCTGCCAAAACAACAAGCAGATGTGTTTTAGGGTGCTGCTCCTTAGAGGAAAGGATGGTGGAACGTGGTCTCCCATACACTGGGCAAGTTGTCAGGGAGGGCCAGTCATCAGATAAAGACTTCCCGCTGGGAATGGTCAGCAAAAAAGAGGAAGACCCTCAATGAGATGGATGACACACTGACTTTAACAGTGGGCCAGAGCATGATGTAGACTGAGGAAAGGGCAGAACAGGGCAGGGTTCGGATGGGTTTCCCATAAGGTCGCTATAAGTCTATTATTGTTGTTAAGTGCCGTTTAGTCATAGACAACCTATCGCTACCCAATGAACAAAGACCTGGACACTTGGATAACTTTCGTCTTTTCTCCGAGTTCATAGGGTTTCTAGAGGGAAGCTCTTTCAGAAGTGGATGCCACTCCTGCTTCCAAGCTTGTTTTAATCGGGGAGAGCCGTTCCTCTAAACATATGTTTAAGACGCTGTTGAGCACTGTGTTTATAAGAAACTTCAAAGCTTAGCACAAAAGAAATGTTAACTCAACAATGTGTCACATGAAAAATCATCAACAAACTATACATCCATTACTAATTTACAAAACTTTTTATATAAAGAATCTTTGTTTAGAATTGCGCATTCAATTCTAGAATTCAACTAGACAACTACCGCATTGTTTGTAAATTTCAACCAAAAAAATAAAATAAAATCCATAAAGTACCATGGACATTTAAAATCATTTTTAAAACTATTTATCTAGGTGGGTTAGTAGTGAAGAGTTGTGCTACTAGGTTAAAGGCATACAGTTCGAATCCATCTCCACGGGGAAACGATGGGCTGTCTCCTCCGTAGAATATAAGACACCACCAAGCACCCCGCGCCTAAAGACTCAAAACCAGGACAGCTTCAGGAGAGCGAAGTGCGCATGCGCCACCCCCAGAGTCGGAGGGAGGCTTGTGTCAGAGCGAAGTGCGCATGCGCCTGATGACGTCATCCGAGGGCGCCGCCGTCAATGTAACCATGAGGGAGTGCGCGCATGCGCAGTGCCCGGGCTTCCGCCATGGCGCACAGACCCCAGCGGGCCTTCCGGCAGCGCCGGGCCGATTCCAGCGGCAGTGACGATGGCCAGGCTTCGCCTCCCGAGCCCAGGGCGCAGGTCTCTGCGGAGGGAGGGTCGCTCCGGAGCCGCAGACCTCGCGCTCGGGTGTGGGCGAGTTCCCGGCGCGCCGCGGCAGCTGCCCCCCGCGCAGGCGGTGACGGCGGGAGCGGTGAGGGTCCCGCGGGGCTGGACGGGGCGGCCGGCGGGCCGGGGAGTGGCCGGGGTCTCCCCCGAAGGCCACGATCTGGCGCTGGGAAGGGGCATCGGGGCCCTTAGGGATCACGTGGTCGTGTGCTGGCCGGTGGGCTCCTGCTTGCATCCCCTGGTGACCCCCCGGGGGGTGTAGCCCCAGGACTAGTCGTTTATGAAAACCCAGGTGCCACGAGTGGCCGCATCCTTCCGGCCACACTCAGCCAGCTGGAAAGCTTCGTGTTCCTTTTGAGAAAGTGGCCGATTAAGAGCGAGGTCCCTTAGCCAGAACGGCCCATGGGAGGAATCCAGGGAGTCTCACTTTGACTGTCCGCGTGGTTGACACTTCCATTCATTGCGTCTCACCAGGCCCCGCATGTCTCAGCCATAGTTCGAAACAAGTGTTGGTCCTTTTGGTCCCATACAGATAACATCTATAAAAGCGTATAGTTCCCCAAAGTAAAATGCTTCGCTTTTACTGCTGCCTTGCTCGATTAAAAGGTGATTTCAAGGTGTGTGTGTGTGTGTGTGTGTGTGTGTGTGTGTGTTCAAGGACTGGATTCTTGGAGAATTTGACGTTCTAAACATTCTTCTAAGTGGTATAGCCCTGATCTGTCCATTTGCTGTACAGAGGTAACTCGTGGTTGCTGTGATGCTGAACACTGTGACACTGATATGTCAAATGTGAAAATGGTCACCCATGTTACCATGGACAGTGTTTGGTAGAGCTCCCCAATTTGATAGTAGCCAAAAGGAACCATTGAACAGGATAGCAGCAGTGCAGTACTGTACAGCCATGATGAATGAGGAGTCCACAAAACATAACGGGTGAATCTACAGACTCTCATTTGGAAGGAAGTAAGACAGTCACAACATGTTGTTGTGTGCCACTGAGTCAGAACCTGCTCATAGCTCGCCCTCTGGTAGATTTTCAAAGGCAGTAAATCACAGAGGAGATGGTCCGTCCTTCTGTATGACAGCTGGTGGATTTGAACCATGTGTCTTTGAGATTGCAAGGCAGCTTCTTACAGCCTCCTTAGTAGTAAAGGGGTATGGTGACCTAAGTCGGTCGCCTGTTTGTGTATTTCAGTCTACCAGCAGCACTGGAGAAAGGGGGGTCTCTTCTCATTAAGGTTGCCAGTCTAAGAAACCCAATGGAGGGTCATTGTGAGTTGAATTGGACTCGTTGACAGTTACTATTGACATTAAGATTGCAGACTAGAAGCTAGAGCTCTTTGAGCTTACCAGGACTAGAGGGAGGGAAGAGGAACAATTTACTAGGTAGTGGCCACTTGGTATTTCTGATGATGAGACAGGTGAAGGCAGTACTACTGGAACCAGGTAATTAAAGCCGCCAAGTCCTGTCAGAGAAATAGCGCAGCAGCATTGGTAGATGCTGTAGCAAATACAATTGAAACAAAAGCAAAAGCTTTTGCCAGCTGCTCCTCTCGAAACTGCACCTGCGTTTCTGCCTCCTTGACGTTTTCACTCCAATATGATTTTGAACTATTGTAGGAATTTGTCTTATGAGATAAAAGATCCTGTTTGTATGATCGTATGTTTTAAAATTACTCTTGGAGGTTCCAAAATAGTTGTATAATAGTAAATCATTTTTTGTTACTGCTACCAAGAATTATTTACATTTCGCTCTTCACATTTCTGTAACACCTCTGTGTGTGTTATCTCTGCTGTTACCCTCAATTGATAGTGTAAATACCACCTCATAATGTGATTCAGTATTAATATGCTCGTTGCTTCTTGCCCTGAGCCATTGAAATAGGACGTACTAGGATGAGAGCCCTGATTGGGCGAGAGGAGTGTGAAAATCCTTCCTCTGGTCGCTGACTCAGTGACTGTAAGCTTCACTGTTTAGACACTCCGGTTGTTAGTGTCCTTGCCTGTGCTAGCATCTCCTTTGTCCAATTAGGAACCCTAAACAAACCAGGGGAAACAGGTGTCCCTGTCCCTGTGACACAGTGAGAGCCCATCATTCTTTTCTTTTTCCTGTCTGGTCACCACTACTCCATCTCCCTTACATTCTGGGGAGGCACTCAATTTTTGTGCTTTTAGTTGTTGTTTTCACGTTATCATCCTCGTCTCACTGCATCTTTTGAGATTATGTTATTGGGTGAGAAGGTAATTCAATTGGAGTGTTTGTTTGTTAGACCATTCCTTGAGTTCACAGAGACTGAGAGTTGGAGAAAGGTGTGTTATGTTTACGTTACATATGGAGTATGGTGGCTGTTAGCTGCTCCGAAGGGACACAGTTCAAATCCCCCAGCTACTCCAAGGGAGAAAATTGGGCAGTTTCCTCCCATGTGATTAAACTGCCTTTGAGAACCCTCCGGAGGGTCAGCTGTGAGTCGGTTCTGGCTCCTGCCTCTGACAGCTTCACTGATCAGTTCCTCTGTCCTGACTCTTCCTAGATTCAGAAAACAGCCTCTTAGAATCCAGAGCAATTGCTCTCTCGTCTGAGGAAGAGGATGGGACACGTCGCTCCTCAGAGAAGGAGGATCACCAGAGTTCCTCTTCCAGCAGCTCTAGTTCTCCAGAAGAAAAAGACATTTCATCCACAGGTCAGTGGTTTTTCTGATTTGCGTGACTAGCTTTTCCTCCTGTCAGTACTTTTTTATGTCATTGGTTCTCGTTATTGATGACATAACAAACTGTAAAGCTCGAAAAAGGAATTTGTTTTTGTTGATTGTCCAAGTGCCAAAATTGACTATTCATGTTAACATGAATATATTAATACAAATAATAATACAGTATAAATAATAATAATAATACAGGTGAAATCAGTTGGGCTGGTGGTTTATCATCCCCATAGAATACAGAGCACGTTAATGTAATAACCGGTACCTCAGAAGGCACACAGTTCTAGCCCACCAGCTGCTCCACAGGAGAAGGCTGGGCAGTCTCCCCCCATGTCGTTCAACTTTGAAAACCCACGAAGGGTCAGCTGGGAGTCGGGTCTGACCCCACGGTTCCTCTCTGTTCATGTTATCAGTGCAGGGTCACCGCAGGACCTGGAGTCTGGCACACCCTGGGTGCCGAGTGTTTCTCAGTGCCCGTGTTCACAGGTGCCCGCAGGAGAGGGGTGGACCACAGAAGAGCTAGTTGCTCACGGATGATGGGGTTTCCTCACGTCAGAGCTGACACAAGGCAGACACCACCATTCTTTATGTAGTTTCCATCATTATTATTGCCTCGTATTAATGCCTTTCTGAATCTCAGCTGTGGTTGTCTTTGTGAGTAGAAAAGTAAAACTTACAAGTATGTTTTCAAGCATACATATTGAGAAATATTAACTACACAATCATAAACTACATTCTGATGATGAAGAAGTGTTGGATGTCTTGTTGCTATTTCGTCAGTTGCCGTAATAACTCCACTTTCACGAAGTTCTGGGCCATCTGCTTGGATTGCCCAGGGGGGCAGGGATGGTATTTCTAATCAGAAAATGCGTGAAAAGAGGGGTCTTTTCTCTACTTCTTGGGGCAGAAACTATCCTCTCCCTGCGCCCTAATCTGCCCCTTTAGCAGTGCCATCTGGGTTTCAGTTCCTGCTTTCAAGCAAGTCTCTGAATACGTTTAGAAAACAGCTGATATTCTTACAACCTCTCTCCTTCCTCATCCTCATTATGCCTTCAGCCTTTTTTCTGTCTTTGAAGCCCATTAAGTCTTGATACATCCGCTCATCTTTTAGCTGATAACCAATCAGTACTATGCAGTTGAAATGCAGTTTTCTTTCATGCAGGTATTGATACTGATTTTCTCCTTTTGACTTGTCCTGATCACGTGCTTGGGGGTGTGCATAGAGTTCAGCAGTTGCTCTCAGAGCCTGTGCGTGCATCTCAGCCTTCCACAGCACACTAACGCTCGTCAAGTCCTTTGTGTTAACTCAGCTGTGTTGGAAGTTAAGCAGTATCAGTATCGTTAGCGCCTCTTCATCTCCAGACCGATCTGTCCCCCATCCCTTGACCTGTGTAGTTCCCCGATAGTCGGGGACTCCGTGGGCAGCCGTTTCTGCCTTCCTTCCCTGACCCTTTCAGATTCTGCGATTACAAGTAGCCCTTACGAAAGTCAGCCCCAATCCTGATGAGTGCCAGAGTTGAAGCAGAAGAAGTGTGTAGTACTTTTTCTGATATTTACAGATTTGGGACATTTCTCTTGAGTTCTCTGTGAAATTAATGTCTTCCTTTTCCGATCAGATTGTGTGTCATTTTTTTTTTTATGGAAAAGTAAAAGAAAAGATTCTTTCATTGTTTTACAAAGCCTCCCCCAGGTCCCCTCCACCATGTAGCCCTCGCTCTAGTCTCCTGTGATGACAGAAATACCTAGTTATATCTCTCTTTTAAACGGTTTTCTCCCTCCTCTGTTTCAGTGCAGTATACATTATTGAACCCATCTTACTCAGTCTCTCCCCAACCCCAAGGACAGTCCCATTCTACAACAGTGGCATCATGTAATATTTGTCCTTTTGTGACTGGGATATTTCACTCAGCATAATGTTCTCCAGAGTCAACCATTTTGAATAATATTGCCTGAGTTCCTTGTTTTTTAATGCAGCATAGTATTCCATTGTGCGAATATACCACAGCTTCTCTAGCCATTCGTTTGTTGATGGGCACTTAGGTTGTTTCCAACTCCTTGCTATTGTGAGATTGTGTGTCATTTAATAACTCGGTCATCAGGGTAGTGAACCAGATGCCGAGGAAATGATGCCCTTGTGTGGGTGTGTGTCTGTGTGTCTGTCTGTGTCTGTCTGTCTGTGTGTATGTGTGTGTGTGTAAAGGTGTCGCGTTTTCTCTGGTTCTCACTGTCCCCTTGGTTTGATGCAGTCAGGATCTCCGGCGCAGCCTTCATCCAGGCAGCACGCAGGAGGCGTGAGCTGGCCAGGGCCCACGGCGACTACCTCCCCTTGGACGTGACGCGGGCGCCCACCATGTCTGCCCTGAAGAAGGACAGTGAGGAAGAAGATCCTTGCAGTGAGCCTGACGACCAGGAAGAAAGGATCTTGTTTGCTCCGAAGCCCCAAATGCTTAGAGAAAGAATGGCCGAAGCAGCAAGTACGTGTTTATCCATCAGTCCGTACAGGTCAAGGCATTTTCGTTACAGTGTTTTTATAAAGTCCCCACAGAAACATGGAGCAGTGTCCTATTCTAAGGGTGGGTAGCTGTTTATTTCTTCTTATTATCAATTTAATCGGTCACATAGTTTTCTAAAATTTATGTCTGTGGGTGTGTGTAATACTGTTTGCTGTTACCTGTTTGACAGATTGAGAAAAAATCATAAAATATTTTTGAAATTTTAAAAGCAGTGAAATCATTGTCAATATAATACATTGGCTGTAAACATAATTCTAAAAAAAAAAACAAAAAAACAACAACCCAGAAGCATCCAGAAAGATTGTAGGCATCACTTGTGAAATGACTCCCTTTTCTGAAACATGTCCTCATCAGGAGTTCTTAAATCTTCCCTCTTTGCACAATTTTTATTTACAGGCCGTTATAAGCATTTTTTCCTTGTCTTAGTCACCTCACATCATGTTTTTTTAGATGTGAGGTTTGTTTTTTTATCACCCAGAAATTCCTGTTGATGGTCCCTTTGTAAATGGTTAGGTTCTCAGCTAAGGATACACAGTTCCTGGATGAACAAAGCCAGGCAGGCCGTGCTTCCCCAGCATCTTCATGTGTAGACTTGGACTGTCATAAACGAGACTGTTTGGAGATCAGAGCACTCATGCCGGAGCCCTGGAGCCAACTGACGGCGCCCAGCACAGCCCCTCACCAGCTCCCTGCCCAGGTGCTGGCTCACGGCCCAGCACAGCCCCTCACCAGCTCCCTGCCCAGGTGCTGGCTCACGGCCCAGCACAGCCCTCACACCAGCTCCCTGCCCAGGTGCCGGCTGACAGCGCCCAGCACAGCCCCTCACCAGCTCCCTGGGCACCTCGGGGTCACTGAGAAGGGTAAATACATTAACACGTCCAAAATGCTAGAACTCCCACAAATGCTAATTGTTGCTGATGGGTGGAAACCTAGTGAAGGTGTGCCCGTGACCTTTATTATGTTTTTTGTAGCAATCAGAAATGAAGAAGCAAGTTCAGAAAGTCAGGAGGATGAAAACCAAGATACTTGGGAACAACAGCAAATGAGGAAAGCCGTCAAAATCGTCCAGGTGCGGACTGTGTACAGTGTGTTTCAGCGCCTGTGAAGCCTCACAGCGTATGTTATGTTACAGCCTCCCAGGTAGTGTGCATCAGAGGGTCCCAGGCTCTCGGGGACCCCGAGTGTCTTGATGATCCTGTCATCATGTCCCTTGTTGATTGCCATCGAGTCAAGCCTGACTCATCGTGACCCCTATGAACAAAAGGCCTGAAGCCTGGTCGACAGCTGTCGTCATTTATCAAGGTTCACAGACTTTCCAGAGGTGTGTTGTTAGGAAGTGGATGCCACTCCTGCCAAAATTTCAAACAATCCCTTTTATTAAATACTTAGGCCCCAAAGAATTTAGTGAGAATATATCTTAAAAATCTTACCGATCATTAGGTAAAATAGGAGAAGTTAAGGGGCAGGGAAGGAATGATTTTATTCCTCAGTCAGCATGCGTAAACAGGGAATGTGTGCGTTTGCCGGTGGAGTGATGTCTCAGTCCTTGGCTTTCGGTGGCTGCTCCTTGCCGCCCCCCTGCCCCACGGCTGGTCCATGGACTCCTGGCTTCTCGGCGTAGCGTCTGTCAGAAAGCCACCCCGGCATGATGCCGTCAGAGGGCACCTCGCACAGCCTCAGGTGGCAGCCTGGCACTGACTGGAGCCGTCTGAGCAGGTGGTGGGCAGTGCTGCTCCCTGGGCAGCTTACACTGCCCGGGGACCCTTCTTGGAGACCTTGGTGTGCACGGAGTTCTGAACGTGACTTCTTCACTTCCCGTGTAGCTAATGCCATCATCATCGCCACTCAGGCCAGTGCCTCGTCCTTTCAGTAGCTGTTCTGCCATTTAGAGCGCCTTTTTAAATTGTGATTTTAGCGAAAGGTTACAGAAAAGTGGGGTTTGCTTCATGATTGTGCAATTTCCTCCCATTTTTACTCCTCCAACTCTCTTTTTTTCTTCTTGATTGATTTATTGTTGCAAAGTGAACTTTCTGGGTTATAATCTGATTTTTTTTTCCCCCCCTGTTAATAAAATCCGTGAATAATTGCCTCCCCACCTTGACCTTTTCTTTTACATGTGGTTTTGAGTTTTTACCTTGGGATAACTGCTATGAGCGATACCACTAAACAGGCAAGAACCACTTTCTCTGGCAGTTTTGTGTTTTCCCCAGTGCTATCTGAAGAAATGTACATCAGCGTTACGACAGGACAGTATTTCACCCCAGTCTTGCCTTAAAGTACAAGTTTAGTTGTTGCAGTTACTATCTTGACCTGATTTTCCATTTGCGTTTTTTATTACTGATACAGTTGCATTAACTGATTGATTTATTGACAATTTTGTACCAGATGTACTAGTTTCCTGTAGCTCCTGTAAGAAAGGTGGTGACTTGAAACCACAGGAATTTACTCTCTTATCTGGAAAGTGAGAAGTGCTACATCTCGCTCTCAGCAGGGTCTTCCTTGTCTGAGGCTCTTCGTGGACATTGTGTCCTCTGCCTCCACTGGCCGCTGCTGACCGTGGGCCTCCCTGGCTTGTGGCTGTATCTCTGTCCATCCTCTCCTCTTGGGGCCGCCCCCTCTGTCCCAAAGCTCCCTCTGCCTCTGTTAAAAGAGTAGCTGTGTCATTGCAGTCAGTTTGAAACCGACTCCTCGCTGACCCTCGGGTTTCGGAGGCTGTGAATTGTGTGGGAGGAGATTTCCCTTCTTTATCCTGAGAGGCTGCTCGTGGGTTCCTGTTGCCAGAGGCCCGCTGTCCTCAGGTCAGCAGCACGGCTCACCTGGCCCCCAGCCCTCCTGCACCGGCACATGTAATGTGCTCCGTATCACCTGGGCGATCCCGTGGAAACTGCTGCTCTCAAGATTCTTAACCACGTCTTTGCCATCTAGGTTAACTCTCACTCTTACCAGATAGGACAGTTCTCCCAGGTCCTGAGCGCTGGGATAAGGATACGTGGTGGGTGCGGTGGGGAGACTTGAGCGCTCTGGAGTCACCTGCACTCTGGCACAGAGCCGTCCTCTGTCAGATTTCCAGCGTGGCCAGTCTTTCTCCTGTGGTGCAGCCACGAATTCCAGAGCTGACCTCTGGTGGCTCACACATTATGTCCTGGAGCGCCTTTGAGCCAGAGAACAAGTGATGCAAAGTGTAGCAGAAAGCTCAGCTGCAGGGCCTTAAAGCAAGTTAAAACGTCATCTGGGACCCTCCAGTACACAGCGCTTTCCTCTTCCCTGGCCAGAGTGAATTTGCAGCCCCTTACACGGCGAACTCGTGTTGCTTTGGGGAAATAGGTTGATTTAGTGAGAAAGCTCTCCACCACCCATCATAATAGTCACCAACGGCTGTTGATTCTTCAGAATCTTAACTTTCTGCAAGTCATTGGACTGGAAACAAAGCTAACTTTGAAAACTAGAATTGTTTGTGATAAAATAAGATTTTTTTTTTTTCAGTTTGCCCCTTTTGTATAAATTTAGATTTCTAAGTTTGAAAAGAGGGTTTTGAAAGCACTCTTGCTTTGATAGAAAGCCAAGAAGGCATGGGATTTCTGAGCTGATAAGCATGTTAATCTGAGCTCCATTTCTGCTATTTTATTTATAAGGTAAATTTTGTTTAAAAAATTTTTTTTATTTTTTTAGGGAAGAAATGTAGACCTTTCTCATAGCATTGAATCTGAAAAAGTGAAGAAGTTTGATACTTCCATTTCATTTCCACCAGTAAATTTAGAAATTATAAAGAAGCGGTTAAATACTAGGTAAGTAACATTCACTTTTAATTTACCTTTATCTTAAACATTTAATAGATAGTACTATTTTTTAAAATTATTAAATATAAATATTAAACAGATTTATAGGGGAAATAGGGAGCATTGGTGGTCTGCTGGCAAGATGCTGCACTGCAATCCCAAAAGTACATGGTTCAAATCCACCAGCCGCTTCACAGGGGAAGAATGGGCAGTCTCCTGCCTCTGAAAACCCACTGGAGGGTCAGCTGTGGGTCGGTTCTGGCTTGATGGTACACAACGACAACACAGAGGACCTCACATCTCTAGTGTTAGCACACAGTGACCCATGAATTTGTGTGTGTGCACTTGTCTTCTTGATAGATGTGAATTGCCTAGTTGTTGTGTTGTTGTTCTGTGCCGTCGAGTCGCTTGTATAATGTACAACATTGCCTAGTTAAAAGTAAAAATATCTATCTCAGAATCAGTAAAAATAAAAGTACTTGACATCTTCGTGGACATTTTTCTGCGTTGTTAAATAGCCTTTACTTTTGAAAAATCACCATGTTTGTTTACTTGGTTGGACATTTTTCATTTAAAATTTTCTCAGTTATGCATAATGGCACAGATGGTAAACATTGTTATTTCTATAGATTTTTTTTTAAACTGTTAAATAATTTTTTGAAATCAATTTCCCCAGAGACTGGCCTTGGCGGAGGTTGGGCCTGTCCTTAGACTCTTGACGCAGGCTGCCTTTCTGCAGTGCAGCTGTCTTGTCTTGTTTGTGTTGTTTATCGGTGTGAGGCTGTCCAGTGTGTCTGGACTCATGGTGACCCTGGGACAGTAGAGCGGCCCCGTGGGACTTCCTCAGCTCTCATCTTGGAGGAAGCTCATCCTCAGTTCTTTTTCTCAGTGAGCCACTGGCTTAGTTCAAACCAGCAACCTTTCCGTTCACAGCCATTTGCCTAACCAGGCTCCTTCCTTGCTGTGATCTTTTAGTAGACTGTTGTGAATCTCTCTCTGACAAAGGTAAGGTAAGTAGCCTTTTTGCTGAAAGCAGAGCGACTCCGTTACGGATTAAGTATTCACACTGTCTCTCATCTTGCTCTGGTGGCCTGGTGGAGGAGAAGTTGCACAGCCAACCCAAAGGTGGGCAGTTCAAATCTACCAGCTACTCCACAGGAGACAGATGGGGCATCTCCTGCCATGCAGTTTACAGCCTCTGAAGACCCACTCGAGGGTCCGCTGTGTGTTGGTTCCTCCGCGGCAGCAGTGACTTTGAGGGTTTAGACAGCTTCAGATCTGGTGTATCTCTTGAGGTGTGTGAAAGAGCATATATGACGTTCAGAGTCTCATTACAGAATGGGGAGAGGGTGGCTTCTCATAATCCTAAAGAACATTTCACTTCAGGTCAGTATGTTGTTGTTTCCCCGACACCTGAGAATAGATTAAAAATCCATGCTGGCCTGCGGCGTGTCTTTTCTATAAAGTCACTTCATTCCTTTATCATATTGCTGCTAAAAATACACTCACAGTGCTTATTTATATAAATACAGATCTAGTGTAGAAAAGGATGTTTCCGAAAAGGATACTTTATAACGTTTTCTGGCTTGATAAATAAAATCATGTAGGTATGTCTGTTTTTAGATACTCTACATTTAGTGTGCTGGCAGATTACTGACCCACTCTTTATCCTGTCTTTAGACAAAGTCAGGCATCAGTGGAAAATGATTTCTCAGTGATTTTAAAGAAACTGGTTTTTTATTCTTCCTTTGGCAAGAAAACATAAAGGGTAACTGTTTTAAAAGCTAAGTAGCAACTGAATTGTGTTTGTTTTTCACAGACTAACAGTTGACAGATATGACCCTCACCAAGGCTGAAAGGATAGAGGGGTGTCTTAGCCTCAGTAGTAGATGGACAGACAGGGCCTGCAGCAGAGCAGAAGAAAAGGGATGTGCAGGGAACATCAAATCCTAATAACACAGCGGACGCCCCGAAGTGCAGCACAAACGTGTGCCAGCAGCTCACCCTCACCGTCCAGTCAGAACCGACCCTCAGCTGCCCCTGCAGTGGGTTCTTGGGAGACGGTACATTGCACAGGGCAGATTGCTCCTCTTTCCACCACAGAGCTGCTCTGTTCATTTCAGACCGTGCGCCTTTGGGTGTGCGCTGTATCTCCTTATCCCTGGGCCACCAGAGCTCCCTCCCTGTCGTACACTCGGCCGATGTTAAGAGCCAGCTCATTCCTTTACCTAAAGACACGTGACCTGTTTGCATTATGAGATCACTGGCGTCCACCTTCTCATCATCTCAGCTTAGACAGCAGCGCCTGGCTTCTGCGCTGTGGCCACCCTGGTTAGCTCGGAGCCCACCCCGCTTAGCTCTGCACCCCAGTCCTTACAGGTGCCCTGTACTGCCTCTCTCCAGATTCCTTTCTGTGACGTTCTCACTCACCACGTCTGATAAACCCAGCTCATATAACCCGTGGTTCCTTTGGTGGTCGTTAGAGCGCAGTCTTGGGGGAAATGTCATTAGAGTGCTGCATATTCAAGTAGAAGCTGAAGTTTGAAAAGTAAAGTGGCATTTCTTTTATTTATCTAGATTAACATTATTACAGGACACTCACCGTTCACACCAGAGGGAGTATGAAAAATGTGTGCAGGATATCAAGAGCTCACAGAGTGCGATCCAGACCCTGGAGGACGCGTCAGGTCCCACGCTCAGCTGCAGGTTCTACAAGAGCATGAAGGTCTATGTGGACAGTTTGATTGACTGCCTTAATGAAAAGGTACGTGATGGTGAAGAGGCTTACTTCTGAACTGATTTTTTGACTGATTTTTTTTTATTCAAAGTGTCTGAATCTCACACTTATTTATCTGGCACATACAGCATTAAGCAGTCCCTTAATGATGGATGTGTGGAGCTTTTGCAGTTACGTTGCTGTGATAAGTAGCAGTGTGTATACCATTTTAGATGTAATTTTTGGGTGTAAAATTATTCTTGATACTAGATGAATGGTTAAGTAAAAGTTCTAAGTATTTTTAAGGCTTATAAAATAGAATCCCAAGATTATACTCCTGAAATACTATCTTGGTTCTGTTAATTTCTTCACTTTTGAAACATGAGTGTGTTTTCATGGGTTGTTTCTTGATGTCCAGCCATCCTGTGTTTTATTTGTTATCTGTTGTAACTCTCGTCAGTTACTTCCCACTTTTGCGCTATTAAATCTTATTCTTAGTGGGGATGTTTTTCTAGTTTTTGTTTTTAGTTAATTCCAACCTATTTGATAAACATTTCTCGCTGTCTTCTAAGTTTTCATACTTTGTCCAGTTTGACGGACTGTTTTTACTCCGATCGTAGGTGTGTGATGCGACTTCTCCTGGCGCACACCTCTTGTGCACTGTGTGTGCCACGCCTTTGTTAACACTTTGCTCATGCTTGCTACTTGTTTTATACATATTGTTGTTGTTCGGTGCCATCAAGTGCGACTCCTAGCGACCGTGTAAACAGCAGCCTTGAGCCTGTGCTGCCCCGTACTTACCGTCTCTGACACACGGGCACTGTGGCTACAGGCGCTGTCTCAGTCCATCTCGTAAAGGGGCTTCTCTTTCTCTGCCAGCCCTTGACCTTTCCTAACATGACGTCCTCTCCAAAGAGAAGTGTCTCCTAGCAGCGTGGTCAGAGTGTGAGCAAAAAGCTTTGCCATCTTTGCCTGCGAGGAGCACTGTGGCTGCACTTCCTCCAGGACATACGTGTTCTTTCAGGAGTCCATCAGATACTCAGTGCTGTTCTCCAAAACCACAGCGCAAAGGCATCCGTTCTTTTGCTGTCCTTTGTTGTCTGGCTCGCAGATAAACAGCAAGTGAATGAAAAGACCATGACCTGAATCAGACACACCCTAGTCTTCAAGCTGATGTCATTGCTCCTCAGTAATTTTAAAAGGACCCTGATTGCAAGTTTCCAGTGCAGTATGTCTCCTAATCTCCTGACAGTTGATACCAAGGCTATTGATGGTGGGTTCAAAAAAGATGAAGTCGTTGACCATTTCAGTCCTCTTTCTAGCTATTGTGATGATGTCTGTTGGTCCAATGGTGAGAATTTTTGTTTTTCTAATGTTGAGACGTAATCCACATTGAAGTCTTTGGATCTTCTGCAGCAAGTGCATCAAGTCTTTCTCACTTTCAGCCAGCAAAGTTAGGTCGTCTCCGTAATGTGGGTTATTGTTGAGTCTTCCTCCAGTCCTACTGCTCCATTCTTCTTCATAGAGTCCGGCTTCTCAGTAGTCACTTCCATGGATTGAACAAGTAGAGAGAGGGCACACAAGCCTGACACATACCTTCTTCATTTTAATCCCTGCTGTATTCCCTCGCTCTGTTTGCGTAACGGCGAGGTCTAGGTGTGGGTTTCACATGAGCACAGCTAAGTGTTCAGAGATTCCCATGCCTTTCAGTGTTCGCCATGATTTTTTATGACCCGCGCAGTTACGTACCTTTGCATCGTCAATAAAGCACAAATAGACATTGTTTTTTTGATCCATCTGATGTCAGCATGACATCCCTGGGGCCACAGCCTCTTCTACACCCAGCTTCAACTGCTGGGAGTTCTCGGTCAGGGTACTGTTGTAGCTGTTTTTGGTTAATCTTCAGCAGTATTTTGCTGGCATGTGATGGTGACGATGGTGTTCAATAACCCACATGCTGTTGAATCACTCTTGGCAGTGGAGACCAATATGGATGTCTTCCAGGCAGTTGCCCTCCAAATTTTTCGGCATAGACTGGTGAGTCCATCTAGGGCAGCGTCTGTTAGTTGAAACATGTCACTTGATATTCCATCAGTTTCTGATGTCTTTTTTTTTTGTTTTTTTGCTCATGTCCTCAATGTGGCATAAATATCTTCCTTTATCACCATTGCCTCTTGTCCGTATGGTACTTCCTGAAACAATTCTTTTTGTCACAGTGATTCTGTATATTCTTTTCATCTTTTGATGCTTCCTGGATCTTTCAAGATTGTGCGCATAGTATCCTTCTGTATTGAACCTCGCGGCTCAGGTTTGGTTTCCAGTTTTTCCGGCTTAAGCAAGTTATACGCGTACTGAGTCCCGCGCCGGTCAACTACAACTGCAGTTGTCCTTAAGTTCTTTTCTACGAGTGGACTAACCATGTTTGTACTCTGTTTTCAAATCCTCTTTTTCATCTTGATTTAAAATGTTTGCAGTCACTTGAGTCTGCTCTCATCCTGTCTCTCTTCTTACCTTAGTTCCCTGACTTGACTTGATTCTTCCAGTACCGATCCCCACAGCCAACCAGTCCCCGCAGCCAGCCGGTCCCCACAGCCAGCCAGTCCCCGCAGACGGCCGGTCCCCACAGCCAGTCAGTCCCGGTCCCCGCAGACGGCCGGTTCCCGCAGACGGCCGGTCCCCACAGCCAGCCAGTCCCCGCAGACGGCCGGTCCCCACAGCCAGTCAGTCCCGGTCCCCGCAGACGGCCGGTTCCCGCAGACGGCCGGTCCCCACAGCCAGCCAGTCCCCGCAGACGGCCGGTCCCTGCAGCAGCCAGCCGTCAGTGCTGAGGAGTTAGAGCCTGTTCGCCATTCCTCCTGAAGTCCTCTCTCGGAGGCGGGGGGATCCTCCCTCTGAGCCAAGGATACTCCCTTCAGCCCCTGACTTTGTCCTGTGAGTTTCACAATTAATAGGCGTTTATTGATGTCCTGAGGAAACCTGGCAGCACAGTGGTTATGACCCAGTGGTCAGCAGTTCAAATCCCCCAGCTGCCCATTGGAAGCAAGATGTGACAGTCTGCTTCCGTGACAGGATAGCCTTGGCAAACCCCCGAGGAATTCCTGGAGGTCGCGTTAAGTCGGAATCCAGAATCTGCTAGGCATCAGTGGGTCGGTACAGCAGTCCCGTGCTGTGCAGTGTCAAGATGCTGTGCTGCGACCCTGAAGGCTCGCGGTTCAAGGCTCCACAGGAGAAGGATGGGCAGTCTCCTCCTGTGCCATTAACTGCCTCTGAAAACCCACCGGAGGGTCAGCTGTGGGTCAGCTCTGACTGCAGTACACAGCAGCAGTACCTGTTGCTAGATCTGTTGCTCACAAGGTTTGTAATCGTGACGCTGCAGTTTTGAAGGTACTTCCTTATCTGAGAATTAAACAGTGTGTGTGTGAATTTATGTATTTTGTGTAAAGTTTTTTTCTAAGTTTTCCTTTTTCTCGTTTTGGGTGCTGGTGAGTTGGTTCTTAACCTGACTGTCCAGTTTATAACAGAAAAGAGCCTGCCCGGTCCTGCCAGCCTTTTATACTTTACTACCTCGTGACTTTCTCATGACCCACAAAGTGTCCCTTGTTTATGTGTTTCAGATTGCCAGCATCCAAGAATTAGAGTCATCCATGCATGCGCTCCTTTTAAAACAAGCCTTGACGTTAATGAAACGCAGGCAAGATGAATTAAAATGTGAATCAACGTATTTACAGCAGTTATCACGTTAGTGTATTTCTTATTCAATATAATTTACTATTTAAAAAATTATCAGCTGGAAAAAATGGTTTTCATTCTTGCTGAAAAAATTTTTCTTTGCCGTTTCCCCTAATTTTTTACCCATCTCCTTCCAAAACCCTAAAATGTGAAAGATAGAGCCTTCTCTTAAATGAATTCTAAGACTGAAAATGTAAATTAGTAATTTCTTATTGTGTAGTATTTGAGACAGAATGTTTTTGACCCACGTGATGATTATTTTCGGACATCTCATAGAAGGGTGTAGGCTTTGTCAGAGATGTGACTTTGTAAGGTTTTCACAGCCCTTCTGCAGATTGGTTGGGGCATCTAGAAAGCCGGGCTGAATTTCAGCAGAGGAGCGTGGGAGAGAGTGACGTGTCAGTCAGGCGTCCATAAGGCTGACAGCCTGGGAGACCTGCGGGCAGAGATGCAGCGATGGGAACTCACATAGACAGCAGCAGCTGTGTGCGGCAGGGGGTTATAAAAACCAAGTAACAGGAAAACCCTGAAAATTCAAACATTTAGGTCTGCACCTCCGTGCTGGGGGTTCACGTTGGGTTTGGCTGCGTCATGACCCCGGCACAGTAAGCGTAGGACTTGAGTGCTTACATGTGCATGCAGGTGCACTACCGCTTTTGTTCTCAGAATGTTTCAGAATTTGCAGTTTGAAAACGGTTTTCTTTATTGGCAGGCAAGACTGAGACATTAACAAATGGAAGTTCAGCTATAGAGGAAGAAACAAAGAGCGTTTTAGAAGAGCTGGCATCTCGAAGGTAAATACGTGTAGTTACAGCACCGCTGAGCAGGTGTTTCTGACCAAGGACGGTGAAGCGCCCTATCGTGGCGTGGTCACATACAGCATAATGGTAAACCGTGGTTTATTAACAGGGTAGCCCACAGCCCGGAGCAACAGCTAGGAATTACTCCCAGTGAGAAGCTAGTCCAAGCGCACCGTCTTCTAGTTCAGTAAGCTTTCTTGTTGTTGTTGTTGTTGTGTACCATCGAGTCAGGACCCCCTCACAGGTGACCCTGAGATGGGTTTTCAGAGGCACTTACTCGCCCAGGAGGAGACTGCAGGTCCTTCTCCCACGGGGCAGCCATGGAGTCAAGCTGCATTCCTTGGTGACTGCAGCGCAGCTTCTTACCACTAGACCATTGTGAGAATGTCCTAAGTGGGACTGTGTCAGGGTCGCAGAGAAGAACCCAAACCACAGATTCAGACGGACGCTGCTCCGCTCTCACTGAGCTGGTGTGATGGTGCCTTTTTGAGCACCTTGACTTTGATTGTAGAGTGTATTTTCAGCCTGTGCCGTTTGCTTTTAATTCCTTTTTTGTTTTGTCATAAAAACACAGGGCTCAGAGAAGACCTGCCAGGCTGGTTTCTGGGAGCGGTGACCACGAGGAAGGGACGTCCAGTGACGATGAGCTGCCCTCGGCGGAGATGGCCGAGCTGCAGGAAAGGCAGGGTCCGTTACCACTGTGCCAGCACGGCCCCGTGTAAGGGAGAGGGTGCGGGAAGGGCTGCCCTGTGCGCGTTCAGTCGGCCTGTGAACTGTAGAGAACTGCTGGAAGGTCACGGGGACACGGCATTTCCGCAGATGCTGCCGCCCCGGCGAGAGACCCAGCGAGGGAGGAGCTGCGTGAGGGTTTCTGTATCATTGTCCTTTTCTGATCTCCTTTTACTACAAAAGAGCGTTTGGGTGAATTCCAGCATCACACCCTCTCCTTAGAACTGATCGTGACCTGAAACAGCCGGGCCCAGTGGGGCGCTGTGAGCGTGACTGGACGGTGGGACAGGATCGCCGATTGTGGGCTCTGGAATCAGCTAATGTGGTGTGGACAGGAGCTCTGAGCTGTGTGACCTTAGGGGAAGGCTCTGACCTTTCTCAGTCTGGCCGTGTTCCTTCCTCTTGGCTTTCTGTGTTGTTTCCCTTGGTTCCCCTCTGCCTGTAGAAAAGTGAGATGGTTATGTTAGTACTACCTGCCTGTAGGGTGACAGTGCAGGGATTAAGGAAAGGAGCTCAGGGAACAACAAACAGCAGCAGTGCTCTCGTGCATTGAAGGGGCACGGGAAGTGGGTATGGTGGCTAGTGTTGCTGTCCCTCAAGTGTTTTCTTAATAAAACAGATTTTCTCTCAATAGCGAAGAGAGCTTTTATTTGGGTTCACATAGTCATGTGACTTGAGAAAGGAGCAGATATAATTAAAGTATATTCCATAACATAATAATATAATAAAAACTTCCTTTGCTTACAGGAAACATCTTGAAGGATCGTCAGAAGATTTTTGAAGATGTACATGATGATTTTTGTAACATTAAGAGTATTTTGTTGAAATTCCAGCAATGGCGAGAGAAGTTTCCTGATTCCTATTACGAAGCTTTTATCAGTTTATGCATACCAAAGCTTTTAAATCCCCTGGTACGGATTCAGTTGCTGGATTGGAATCCTCTTAAGGTAATTTTGCGCTGTGTATGACGGAATACCCCTCACCCCATTATTACGTTCTCCTGCTGTAAGGTTAGCTGTAACATACGCCCCTTACAGACTCGGAGCCACTGCTCAGTCCATGGGCGCAGGGTCTGGAAGGGCATCGTCTTAGACCTCATTAAACATGAGGAAAACAGGTACTGTAGTGGCTTCTGTGTTTAGTTTGGTTTCCCCCTGAGAAAGGATAACATAGAATTGTGCCTTAGAAACGAGTGATGTTAGTACCCAGCCGTCCTGTGGATCTGTCTCTTGCTTCAACACTGTTTGGATGGAACAGACCCGGCGACCTCACCCCTTCCAGCCTCCCTCCAACTTCATCTCCATGCGTAACTTCAGGGTTATCTCAACCATCTTCTCTATTCGGGACCAGCTAACACCTTAGTTAGCCCCAAAACCTCAATGAACTATGAGCTCTCAGATCCGTCAGAGTTATTCCGCCAAAGCAGAAGCTGGTGTCAGCCGTCTGATCAACCTGCACCTGCGGGCCTCTTACACCTACCTCTCTCTCTGTTTTTATTTTGACTGCGATGATGTGGCCTTGGAAGGCGTGAGACACTTCTTTCGTAAGTTGTAGAAGAAGCGCGAGGGTGCCGAGCGGCTCTTGAAGCTGCAAAACCAGCGCAGCGGCGGAGTCCTCTTCCAAGATACCCAGAAGCCATCCCAGGAAGAGTGGGGTAAAACCCTGGACGCCATGCAAGCAGCTGGCCCTGCGGAAGAACCTAAACCAGACCCTTCTGGATCTGCACACCGTGGGTTCTGCCCACACTGACCCCCATCTCTGTGACTTTCTGGGGAACCACTTCCTGGACGAGGAAGTGAAACTACTGAAGAAGACGGGTGACCATCTGACCAACATTAGAAGACTGGGCGGCCCCCAGGCCGGGCTGGGCGAGTATCTCTTTGAGCGTCTCACCCTCAAGCACGACTAGGGGTCTGCAGGGACCTGCGGGGGGAACCTCTGCGTCCCCCTGCCATCGGCAGCAAGCTTCTCTATCCCATTCTGATGTAGAATCTTTTCCACCCAGAAGCCCTTCGCCCAAGCCTTGGACCAAATGAAACAATAAAGCCTTTTGCAACAGCTAAAAAAAAATGAGTGATGTGTGGGACAAAATGAAGCCTGCAAACCCGATTCTGAGTTCTGGTACCAGAAATGACATGTTGGGAGGAGCTGGCCAGCACAGCTGCAGAGGAGAGACGTTTAAAGGTTCTTTTCTAAGGTCCTTCTTGATAAGAGGTAGCAGCCTGATGAAGGCAGTGTTTGGGAAGCCCTAATCTTCGTTATGCAGATGATACAGCCTGGCTTGTGAGGAGAGTTGTGAATGCTTGCTGCAGAAGATCAAAGAGTACAAGCCTCAATGTGGATTACATCTCAACCCCAGGAATACAAAAATCCTCACCCCTGGACCAGTAGCTGCATTGTGTCAGGTGGAGAAAAGATTGAAACTGTCAACAAGTTCATCTTTTTTGGATCAACAATCCGTGCACTTGGTGTCAGCATTCAGGAGATGGGTGAACTGCACTAGGAAAGTCTAATCAGAGCTCATTCCAAATTAAGGAGCAATGATAGTGTTTAGAAGACTAAGGTGTGCCTGATTCAGGCCATAGTATTTTCAGGCACTTCTTTTGCGTCTGAGTTTGCCTATGATTAAGGATAACACAAGGATATTCAATGCCTTTGGGTTCTGGTGTTGGAGAAGAGTACTGAATATTCCACAACTGCTAAAAGAACGAACAGATAGGTCCTAGGGAAGGTTTAGCCGGAGTACCCCGTGGAGGCAGGAGTAAGGAAGCTTCATCTCACAGACTTTGAGCATGCAGCCAGGAGTGACAGTTTTCTTGAAGAGGGACGTCATGCTTAGAAAGACAGAGGATCCATGAGGGAGAAGAGGACCCTCAACCTGGTAGATTGACACTGTGACTGCAGCAATGGGCTTGAGGGTGTCAGGGATTGAGGATGGCATGGGACAGGACAGGGTTCAGATGTGTTGTTCATAGGGTCGCTGTGAGGCATACCCAGCTCGACAGCACCTAACGGTAGTAATCTGACTGGACAGGATAGGAAGTCAGAAATAAAGATATTCACGGGGAGACTGCTTTACAGGTCAAGCTGAAATGATCAGTTGCTCACTTGAGACGGTAGTGGCAGTAAGAAGAGAAGGTTGTTTGCAAGAGTTGCAGGGAGGTAAGGATCACTGGTGCAACGCTGATAATAGCCCTAACCCTTCAAACACTTCCTCAGGCTTGGATTCCAGTCTTCCCAGAAAGAGGAAAGGTTTTCATTGACATTTCACTTCATAGGTGATTACATGACAGCAGGAGAGTTAGAGACACGTCCAGTAAGCACATTGAGTTCTGGTCCTCATCTGTAGGAAGTTGGGCAGTTGACCCAAGGTGATTCCTCTGCTGGTTCGAACTCACCAGCCACTCGATGAGAGAAAGGTGGGCAGTCTCTTCCAGTCTGGTTTACAGCCTCTGAAAACCCTGTCGAGGGTCGGTGAGAAGTCAGACGACCCCACAGCTCTCAGAGCAGAACAGAGTAAGCAAATAACAGTGAGAAAGCAGACTTGTAGGAAGGGGTGAGGGCAGCGAGTGCCTGTGTCTCTTCGTGGTGCTTTGAAAGCTCGGGACCACGTGGGCTCCCTGCAAGAAGCACACTCCCTCAGGCAGGGCCAGCTGTTCACCGGGCTGCAGCTGAGACGTTGAGCCTCCGGCCGATGCCTGTTCATTCAGCAGATAGTGACTGGGCATCAGCTGTTTGCCTGCAGAGCCAAAAACGTTAGTGTTTATCAGAGAGTGAGGGAGCGGAATTGAGATTGCTCGAGGCAGCACTTCCTTGGAAACGCTGAGTGCTGTGTCCTGAGGAGTGCTGTACCCGACAGCGCTTGCCCTGTGCTGGGCACTGAAGGTGCTGGCACTCACGGCATCTGCCGAGCTGCTGGGGCGTGGATTTGAGAGAGAGCAGAGCTCCCTCTCCTTGACACCCCGGCTTGGTCACACTGTCCAGCTGGGAGCTGAGTGCAGGGTGTCGAGACAGGGAGTGAGTCTCTCAGGACAGCTGTGGCGACCCCAGGGAAGGCTCACTATTTTAACATCAGCTAGCGCTTAGGGTCACTGGTAACCTTTTCCTTTTCTTAATCAGCCAGACTCTGTCGGTTTGAAGCAGACGTCCTGGTTCACAGCTGTGCAAGAGTATGTGGATCATGCCGTGGAACACACAGAGGAGGAGAGTTCTGATCGGAATATCCTGTCTGGTGTCATCAACAAGGCTGTTATTCCTCGGCTCACAGGTAGCCCTTTGCGGCCGTAATAAAGAGCACAGGGCCCTGACACGTGGGCGTGCTGGGTGAGGGAAGCAGGCGTAATAAAGAGCACAGGGCCCTGACACGTGGGTGTGCTGGGTGAGGGAAGCAGGCGTAATAAAGAGCACAGGGCCCTGACACGTGGGTGTGCTGGGTGAGGGAAGCAGGCGTAATAGCCCATGAGGGCCCTGACACGTGGACATGCTGGGCACAGTGAAGTCAGCAGCTGTCTTCAAGCCCGCCCTTGACAGTGCCGTTTTTGAGTGGGTGTCTGCCCCTCAGGTCCTCAGCTCTTAGCCTTTGTGGCCTTTTAATAACCTCCTTGCTGTTGACTTGGAGCTGACCTCTAGCTGGCTCTGCGGTGAGTTCTCAGAGGCTGTGAGTCCCTCAGGAAGAGATTGCCCATCTTTCTCCTGTGGAGTATCCGGGGCCCCGAGCCGTCAGAGCAGCCCTGCCTATGGACACGCAGGCAGGGTCAGTCCGTCATCTGAGAGAGCACCGAGGAGGGGAAGGGAGCGGACTGACCACCCGGATGACAGGGAAGCTGTGTGCTTGCTGGGCACATTGACAGGCTCCTCGAAGTTCCGTGGTGATGAGTTGAAAGTATGTCTTCTCCCAGCTCTGCTTACGGTCCGTGGTTGTAGACACAAACTCAGGGACAGGTGGGTGTGTTTGGTTTGAATTGGTCAAGCAGGTTCAGCGAAGTGCACGAGAGGTGGAAGAAAGCCGTGTGTGCCAGTAAGTGATGGTCATGACTGGCCCGGGCCTCAGGTGAGACGTGGAGGAAGGAGCAGATGTCAGAAGTGGGGCTGGAGGAGCGGGAGCGTGAAAGTCGGCCTGGTGGTGCTCAAGCACTGTTAGAAGACAGGTGCCAGAAGGAGGGCTTGTAAGAACAGGAGTGATTATCACAGCCGTGTGAACCTGTCATCACAGTGAGGTGGGTGACAGGTGCGTGCCCAGAGGCAGGGCTCAGGGTCATTGGAGAGGCTTCATCAAGGCCAGGGTTCATCTGCACAGAACTTTGACTGCTAAGAGTTATTTTAGGAGTCAAGTTGCAGAGGGAGTCGAGGTGCCAGAAGTTGACTGTCCTCCGAGAATGGTGGAGCCCAGCAGGGTGACCTGTGTGCTGTGACCCATGTGCCCTGGCCCGCGTGCTGTGACCCTCATGCGGTGGCCTGCTCCTGTGAGACTGAATTCAGTCGGAGTGGGGGAAGGGAAAAGAGCAGCAGTAAGGAGCGTGCGTACCTCGATTCAGAGGATGAAGGCTGTGACTCTCACAAGGCGGACAGCACAGGCCTCGTGCAGAAGGTGCTCGGGGAAGCACTGGGAGAGGCAGCGTCCAGTGGGCTGGAGGCAGCAGTGGGGGGTTTGCACCAGGAGCAGGAGATGTAGGGGGAGTTTGCCGGTGGAGGACATTCAGGGGCTCGGTGGAGGAGTTCAGGATAAGGGGTGAGAACGGGGGTACGAAAACACAGTGTCCTGGGTACGAGGCCGGGCCCGAGGGCCTGAACGCCTTGGGTGTCTCTGGTATCGGCCATGAGCTCGTTGAAGGAGCAGAGTGAGCTCAGTCCCAGGGAGGCCCTGTGAGGAGGGACAGATGCCGAGGGCAGGCAGACATGACCAGCAAAAGCAGGGTCATCACCAGTGACGCAGCTCTGAAATACTTGTTTCAGACTTCGTGGAGTTCATTTGGGATCCCCTGTCGACCTCACAGACAACAAGTTTAATACCGCACTGCAGGATGGTTCTCGAAGAGCATGTGGCTTCTGAAAAAGAGGTAAGTAAAAGCCATACTGCATTTTCTAAAGTTAGGAATTACTTCATTTAGTTATAACTTCCTCACCTTCGATCTCTTTCATGAGAGAAGATGTGTGAGTAATTTACAGCGAAACTAGTTGAAGAGGAAATTGTTTCTATCCGATTGATAGAACTGCTGCTGAGGAGGTTTTCACAGGAGTGGGCTTTACACTCTGGACGTTGTGCCAGAAGAAGTCATTGTTACTCACGGAAGGATACACCAGACCCAAGGAGCAAGACCCACGTTACTGCCGTGATTGTTTCTGGCCACATTCTGTTACAGGATGTCAGACCTGCTCTCACAGCCCAGCCAGACAGGCTTCAGTTTTGCAACTATCTAGTGGCCCTTCAGAGGTGAACTGGCATAAATGCGTTAGTGCAAATCCATTCCTTCAAATACACAGTTGTTTTTTCTTTCTCTTGGCACAATTTCATTGGCACCTTGGCTTTGCTGTAGAAGTGATTTTAACATTAGACTGTCATTATTTATATGACTTTCTTGTTCCCATTCCAAACAAAGGTGACTCGACAGTGTGGAAACGATCAAACAATATCATTGATACCACGTGCAAGCAGGATTCTGCTGAAAATCATCCAAAAACAACTGGAGCAGCACATCAACAGAGAAATGCCAGATGTGCAGGCTGGGTTTAGAAGAGGCCATGGTACTAGGGGTATTACAGCTAATGTCAAATGGATCTTGGCTGAAAGCAGAGAATACCAGAGGAATGTCTCTCTGTGTTTCATTGATTGTGCAAAGGCGTTTGACTCTGAGAGGAATGGGAATCCCAGAACACTTGATTGTGCTTATCCAAAACCTATACTTGGACCAGGATCCAGCTGTCAGAACAGAGCAAGGAAACACTGTATGGTTCAAGATCGGGAAGGGTGTACACTAGGGCTGTGTCCTTTCTCCATACCTTTTCAATCTATATGTAGAACAGATCATCCGGGAGGCTGTGCTGTATGAGGAGGAATGTGGCGTCAGGATTGGTGGAAGAGCCATCAACAACCTCCATTATGCAGATGACACAGCCCTGCTTGCTGAAACTGAAGAGGACCTGAAGCTCTTGTAGAAAGTCAAGGACTGCGCCCTTCAATACGGATTGAAGCCCAACATCAAGAAAACAAAGATTCTCACCACTTGGCTGATTGGCAGCATCATGATAGATGATAACGAGATTAAGATTACAGATTTCGTTTGCTTGGGACCTCTCCCAAGTACTGAAGAGCAGTGACATCAGGCCGGAGAGTAAGGTGCACCTGATCCAGGCCATAGTCTTTGCAACTGGTCAGAGAGCTGGACATGACTAGGGATGCTAGAAAGAGAATTGATGCCTTTGAGCTGTGGTGCTGGAGAAGAGTGTTGAATATACCATGGACTGCTAGGAGGTTCGTCCGAGAGAGGGTGAAACACAGATGTTCCTTGGAGGCAAGGATTCTGAAGCTTCAACTGACATATTTTAGACATGTTGCAAGGAGGGACCAGTCCTTGGAGAGGGACGTCATGCTTGAGACGGTGGAAGGATGGAGAAAGAGAAGGAGACCCTCAATAAGATGGATCGATTCAGTCACTGGGGTAATGGGGATAGGTGTGCCGAAGACAGTAAAGTTGGCACAAGATAGAGCAGGTTTCAGGGCTGTCGTACGTAGGGTCATTATGAGTCACAGGTGACTCAACGGCACATAACAACTGCCTATATTCTGCCAAAATGAAGAGCAGTGAGGGCTTTGATTTTACAGACCTGGAATGAGTCTGCTGATTCTGGGACACGGTCACAGGTCATAGACTTACCAACACGGGAGCTGCGGCTGGAGTGTTTGGAAGACATCCACAAGTCAGTCAGTCAATGGCAAAAGCTAGTACTGAGAAAAATAATTTTTTGTTTGTTTTGGTTTTTGGTTTCTTCCTGTGTACCATCAAGTCAGATGCAGCTGGCACAGGAGAAGATCGCCCCTCTTTCTTCTCTGTGATGACAGTTCTGACCAAGCCCCTGTTCTAGTTCCCTGCACATGGTCACTGCGGGTCCCACCCCACACGGCTTCTGCACACCTTGTTTGCATTATTAGCAAGATGACCGGTCACTACTGCAGGGACATTTTTTTGCATGGCCTTAGGCCTTAGACATTTTTAGGAACTATAACATCATGATGAAAAAAGCCACGTGATGTGTTGAACTCACTTGTTAATAGTTATTTTAGCATTTGAGGGGGTGGGGGCCGTGTGCATGCATGCATGTGCATTTATACTACTACAAAAATACATTTTTTGTTAAAAATTCCTAATTTTCGCTTTGAAAACTTTTAAATCTAGAGCTTATGTAAAGCCATTGTTTCAAGAATAAAGAAGGCAATAGAAGATGATGTTTTTATTCCTCTCTATCCAAAGAGGTAAGAGCTGTTAATTTTAAGCTTGGTTGAAATACCTATTTTATATAAGCTGGTTTAAGATTGTAAAGACAAGCTGAGTGTTTTGAGTATACGTACAGTATATCCTGATTCCCGCTAAGGGCTCCTGAAATTCTTGTCTTGTGCCAGGAATGATACTCGGCCCTTGGGCCACATGCCCTTTGTCATGATGTTCTGGGGACATGAAGGAGCTCAGGGAGTGCAGTCAGACCTGAGCTGGGCTGCTGTCCCAGAGCTGGGCAGACCTGGTGCCTTGACCGCACCCACAGCTCCCCAGGACCGTGGTGTGCAGTCCTCCCGTTGGATTTACAGCCTCAGAATTGATCCTCTGCCGTGACTGTGGGTTGGCAGCATCTTGACACCAGTCATTTCTGGTTTCTCTCTCCCTTGTTTTGAATCAGTGTTGTCGAAAATGAAACCTCACCACACTCAGCGTTCCAAGAGAGGCAGTTCTGGTCAGCGGTAAAGGTAAGCTGAAAACGCCTACCCCTCCACCCCGGGAAAATCTCTGTGTGTGTGTGTGTGAGAGAGAGAGAGAGAGTTCAGTCCTGTGTACTGCAAACGAAAGATCTGCAGACACGTCTGTGAGGACCACACAGTGAACGGCACACGTCACTCAGCGTCACCGCTGCAGGGCAAGAGCTGGACAGAGCAGCTGCTCCTGGCCGAGCTCCAGCGAGGCCGCCTTCATAGATGCTGTGCTTTTAGTGCCACGGCCTCTGCACGCGTGACACAGTCCACAGTTCGTTTTGTCCTTAACCACCTGAAAACGTGGGCCCTACCAAAGTGGACGTCAGACATTTACCCAGAGGCCTTAGGTGGCCAAACCCGGGTCTAAAGATAAAGTCGTCAGCGAAGTCATCGCCAGTGGGGTGTAAGTCAGTGGTTCAGAGGTGCTGCTGACGGAGCAGGCGCTGATGGTGGTGACACGTGAGGAGTGAGGTGCCCCAGCTGCCTGCGGTGGGCAGACGTCACCGGGTGAGGGCTCAGGAAGAGGGGCTGCAGGGACGGTGAGAACCACCTCAGAGTCACCTGGAGACGGCTTTAGGCCCCGGTGCTGGCCGAGTGGTGAACAGCACAGGGCGTGGATTCACTGGCAGAGTCTGACCCCCCCGGGGGTCGCTGGGCGTCAGTTAGGACGAGGGCACGCAGCAGCAGCAGCAGCGGGATCTGTAGGGAGCAAGGCGCTGCGTCGCCTGTGAAAGGCACACACTGCTCCGTAGGGAGAGATGGGCCTTCCCCGTGCGGTTCCCTGCTCTGAAGACACCCTGACGGTTAGCCATGGGTTGGTCCCACCTGGACAGGGACAGCAGTAGGGTATACAGGTGGGAGATGCCAGGGTCAGGTGAAGCCTTGAGAGTCGGTCCCCTGGTCACGAGCAGTGTCCTCGGAGGAGACCGGGTGGACCAGAAGGAGAGGACAAAGAGCGGAATCTTGAAACACTGGCACGACAGGTAAATAGAGGAAGGCACCGAGGATTTCTTCAAGTGAAGACGGCAGTGGTCAGTGTCACAGAAGAGAAAGCATTTGCTGCGTTTGACAGATCAGAGGCGAGTTCCTTAGCAGGAGCAGGGTCAGTGGTGTGAACGGTTTCCGCCATGTGTTTAAGTTGGGAGAGGAACTCTGAGGACATCATCCCCCATGTGCTGTGCTGACCAGGAGATAGATCCCCCAGCAGCTCTGCCGGGGGAGGGGGCTGACTGCCTGCTGAGAGGCACGGCCTCGAGCCCGGGGCAGGTTCTGGGTCACGGTGCTGGTCCGTCTGCCTTGGTTCTGGCTTGGAATGGTGTTCTGTCTCGTTCGGTTAGTCAGGAAGAGGCTTTCCGAGAACAGGAGGCAGCACCAGCAGTGCGTGGAATGTGACAGAGTTTGACCATTAGGAAAAAGGCATGCAGAGTGATAACTACAGTCCTGGAAGAGAAGTGGGGTTCCCCGTAAAATACGTCCAGAGTGCTGGGTTTAGAGGATTTATTCTGATTCTCTACACTCAGATTGTTAGGCACCTAATTTTGCATGTCAGAGATGACGTTGAGCTCGGATTTGTTCTGAGCTGATTTCTGCAGGCCACGTGGTGGTAGCAGTGGCCCTGGCCTTGCTGGCAGCCTTAGGTGGAGCTGAGGGTCTCCTGATCTCGTGCCCAGTGACTGTGGACCTGGGAGAGGGCGGGCTACGTTTCCTCAGGAAGCACCAGAGAGGTGAACGGACATGGAGTTCCGGGTGGTTTTTCTAGAAATGTAAACTAAGATGTACAAATGCATGGCGGCTGCCAAGAAGCAGGTGTTTATCCAGAAGTGTGGCGTGTGGATGGGTTTGGCTAGCTCTTGGGTTGGGAGTTGGGGCTCGTTGGCTTGATTTGTTTGAGAGGAGCCCCACTTCTGGGGGAAGGGACTCAGCCACGTGCCGTTTCATCCCAGCTCTTCCGCAACGTCCTCCGGTGGCAGGGACTCCTCCCCGACGCGGCCCTGCAGGAGCTGACCCTGGGAAGGCTGCTGGGCCGGTACCTGCTCACGGCGCTGCTTCACGCTGGCCTGGGCCCGGGCCTTTCTCGAAAGTGCAGCCAGGTAGGTGGTGGGGGAACCACTCATTTGCCACTTTTGAAAAATCAGCTGTTAAAACCTATTTAACATAACAGAACTCTAATAGTCATCCTGGCAGTGTCAGCTTCCTGGGGGCGGGATGCGTGGAGTATCGGCTGCTGACCAGGACAGCAGTATGACTGCTCCTGACCTCCACAAGGGAAGCACACAGTCCCTGCCCTAAGCATCAACCCTGGAAACCGGGGAAGGTCAGCAGTGTGGATGTACCTGACCTCCACGAGGGACTCAAACACAGTCTGCCCTGAGCACTGACCCTGGGAACCGGGGAAGGCTGACCACAGGACTTTGGGTTTTGGTAAACAAGTTAGTGTCGAAGCAGCTCACATTCGTGTCTGAATCCCACGTGTATCCACCCAAGTGGTACCGTCTTCAGTGGGCTTTCATTGCGATTTTAGGGGGAACAAAGCAGCTAGTAACCCTTGTTCCTAAGACATGTTCTCTGGATGTGCTCAGACTCCAGAGTGTTTATGCTCGATACAGTACAGTGTATATGTGCAAATACAGCCTCTCGGCCACTGACGGATTCCACGGCTTAGGATGCTGTGTTACTGTGGAAATAACTTGCACTTGGATATGTTGTTATTTCTTGTTTTTATTCTTAAGCACGTTACCCCCTTGTGCGTTAGTTTCCTCTGCATGCTGTGTGTTTGTCCAGTTAATAAATGCATGCACACTGTCCTGTAGCCTCGCCGACTCCCAGCGCACCCTCCAGGGTGTCTCCAGGGCTCGTGAGAGGAGACTGTCCGTCTCTCCTGCAGAGCCGCTGGTGGATTCAAACCCTGGAGGTGTGGGTTAGCAGCACCTGTAGACTCCACCTCCAGAGCGCCCTGGTTACGGCACGAGAGAAGCACTTCCTTCCCTGTGAGTCAGTCCTGGGTGGAGAGCTCTCAGGGAGATCTGGTGGCCTGAGGCCAGCAACTGCTGCAGGAAGACAGTTACCTCTCATGCGACTTACAGCCTCTGAAACCTGGGGAGGGTCAGCTAGGAGCCGGTTCTGACGTGATAACAGAGACACAAATTTTAGAGTATTCGTATTTAACTAAAAAATGTACTCAAGAAAATTTCATATAAATTAATGCTTATAAAGATTAAATAGGCCAGGAATATAAGAGGATACGAAACACTGTGTATATCACTAAAGTCCCCATAAATTCTGTTTTAGGAAACTCCCTTTTAAATTACAGGGGAGTTTTTTGGGGTTTAAGTGTAAAACCATTGGCATACTGAAGTACGGAAAAGCTCTCATCTTTTTTAACAATGAACTCTAAATTGGAGAGCGTAAATCTCCTTACTCACGGAGGGTTGAATGCATTTGTCCTTGTAGGAGCCCCTGTATGATGACCGATCAGTAACCACCCATGTCTTCATCAACAGGTCGCAGCCTGTCTCCCTGAGAAATGGTTTGAGAATCCTGCCCTGAGGACATCACTTCCCCAGCTGGAAAACTTCTGCCAGCTTTTAGTGCAGTCTGCAGAGACGTTAGCTCGCAGTGAGCACAGGTAACCCATAGTTTATTGTCCTCTTCATAAGCTCATTTCCAAGTTTCTGTTAAGGTCTCAGCCACTTGAAGGAAAATTTGACCATTTTCTTGTATTCTGCAGTCTTTGATAGTGTTATCGTTGTGCGGTCGAGTCACCTGCTACTCACAGCAACCCTATGTATAGCAGCTCTGTGGCCTGCCCTGTCCTGAGCCGGTCTCACTGGCTCTGACACACTAACCCCCATGGCCCTGGTCTCTGTATCAATACATCTCATCCAGGGTCTTCCCCTCCTGCGCTGTCCCTCCACCCTTCCCAAGCATGATGTCCTTCGCCAAAGATGGCTCCTCCCGGCCACATGCCCGAAATAGTGAGGCAGAGCTTCAGAATCCAAGCCTCCAGGAAGAAATTTGGATTCACCCTCTCCAAGACAGACCTGCTTGTTTCCTTGGAGGTCCATGCTATGTTCCACTCTCTTCTCCAGCACCACCACTCAAAGGCATCAATTCTTCTGTCATCCTTAGACATTGTCCACCTCTCTGACGCACAGCAAGTAATTGTGAAGACCGTGGCCTGGATCAGGTGCAATTTAGTCTCTAGACTGACATCGTTGCTTGTCAGTACTTAGGAAAGGTCCCTGACAGCAGATTTACATGTCATGCACTTTGTGATCTCCTGACTGCTCCTAGCACTCCATGAGTATGAATCAGTAACAAAGCACAGAGAGAGGCATTACGCACGTGGGCGCAGGGGGACGTGCCTCAGTGCCAGCTATTCAGACTTAAATATAGTGGAGGGAAAAAAACAAAGCACGTGTCGGAATCTGTCAGCGTCTGGTGTCCACTCTCCCGGCACACCCCCGTCCCACTCCCTACATGCTGGGCCTGGCCTGTCACGGCTCAGATCTGTGCGCCCTCTTCCTCCTCCTCTGACCGTGGTTCACGCCGATACTCGCCATAGCACATCCTTACCTTGGTGTGGAGAACACTGCGTCTCGGCATTTGATGCAGTTTCTCACCGTTGGCTGAAAGGAAAGCCCTTGACTTAGTAACTAACCCTGGATGACCAGGTCCTGAATTGACCGCCGCACCTTCACTGTGCTGACCTGTTTGTTTGGTTTTTCAGGGATGAAGTGAAAGAAATCATCGTCATTCTGGTGAGAATGAAAGCTTTGAATCAGGCGCGGTCCCTCATAGAAGGCCACCACCTGGACCATCTCCGCCCGCTCATGGACGTCTGAGGGCTGCCTGGCTGGGACTCTTTCCACAGCTGCACTTGGGCTCCGGCTTGAAAAGCACCTTGTCCCTCTTCATCCTCTGTTACTGAGCCGGGGCGGGGGTGGAGGCGGGTGGGCGAGCAGGGGCCAGCGTGGTCTCTGCCCCACGTGCCACGCCCTGCTGACAGCACCCGCTGACCCTCCCGAGCCTGTGTGAGGGTGGGATGGGCGAGCAGAGGCCAGCGTGTTCACTGCCCCATGTCCCACGCCCTGCTGACCGCACTCTGCTCTCCCTGAAGCCCAGGAGCACATGGGAGGAGCACGTTTCCCTTACAGTCTTTTGACAACTTTCCCATTTTGAGAGGTATTTTAGTATCTTGTTCATAAGTCATTTTAGTTAGGTGAGTTTGCTTACAATAAATACTCTGAACCATTTTAACTTCTTTAGTTCTCATATTTTTAAAGTACTTTTGTTTGTGCAAAAGAGTCAGATGGGCCTTGTAATTCTTTTTCTTTGTTTGCGTTATAACGGATGTGTTGTGGTGTTTTTATGTTGCTGTGTGTTAGAGTTTTCCGTTACGGATTTCCGATTTCCCGCGGATTTCCCAGCACAGATGTAACAGAGCAGGGGATCTTCCCACCAGTGATGCTGCAAACTTTTTCCTAATTTTTTTCCAGCTGTTACTGCAGACTGTTCTCTGCCCAGCAGCACGCAAGAATTTAACCACGGCACCACCCAGGCTGTTCTCTCTGCTCAGGTCTTCATCCTAACCAGCTGTTATAAATCACACAGGAGCTCTGGTGGCCTCGTGGCAAGAAGCTGCACTGCAATCCCAAAGGTGCACGGTGCGAGTTCACCAGGTGCTCCACTGGAGGGGCAACTTCCTGTGCCAGTCAGATCCAGTTCGATGGCACCCAAGAAAATGTTACTGTTGTTATGTGCCGTCAAGTCACTTGCAACTCATAGCGACGCCACACTTTTCCTCACAGAAAATAATTTTTAAAAAAAAGATCACACAGAGAGCTTTTTAAAAATATTAACCTGCCTCCCACCTGCAGATACTCTGAATTATTCTGGAGACATTTTAAAAACGGACTTTACAGTAATTTTAGCTCATATTTTTTAGTTTAAACAGGAGTCTCGCCACCTCTGTAGCCGCCTGTTCCACTTGAGACAGGCTGCTTGTCCCTGAGGAACTGTCTCTGCAGAAGCAAGTACCCACTCATCACGGGCAACCCACCTGAGGTCTAGATGAGGCCGGGGGTCTGTGTCGTGAGCTGGTGGCCAAATGTCCACCTTGACTCGAGTCTGGAGTCCAGGCCAGGTGTTGAAGGTGCTCCTTCCTCCTGGCACCTGACGGGCGTAGCAGGGGTTTGACCTCTGCCATCCACACGGATTCCTGACAGAGATGGGGGCGTTCCTTTCTTCTCTGAGGTTCTTTCCTCTGTGGTCAGACAGATGACCACCTGCCTGCAGGGCCTTGGAGCTGGCCTTACTGATAATTGGCACAGGGGACGCTGAGCAAAGGCATCCATGAGAAGGTAGTTTAATGTGTTCCCAGAACAGGACGTCTTCTGTCCTGTGACCGTCTGCAGTTAACCGACCAGCACACGTGCTCGCGATGCTGTGCCCTTACCCAGCTGCGAAAACCTATGTGCAGGTGCCCACCAGGCACTGGCCGGCCCCTTTGTTAGCCCACGGGGGACTTCACGAGTTCCTCGAGGCTCTAGCCTACTGGTAAGCAGCTGTGCTGCATTACTGAAGGAACATGGTTCAAATCCACCAGTTGTTCTGCAGAGTAAGTCAGGCCATCCACCTCCCGTGTGATTTACAGCCTCTGAAAACTGCTAGCGGGCCATCTGTGAACTGACTAACAGCACCTATTAGCAATAAGCCAGTCAGAATCGTGTAATTGATTCCTTTTTAGCACTTAGGAATACTATCTCAGGGAATGGTTCAGTGCAAAGACAAAATGCATTTTAAACTGGGACTCGGCTCATTCCCGGTGAAATGGCTGATTCAGCGGTGTGCCTGGTCTTGGCCAGGCTCTGCACGTCAGGAGCTGCTGGGTCCGGCTGTGTGGGGCACCCAGAAACCCACCCTTCCAGAGGCCTCGAACCGTGTGTTCTGGAAACAGCGACACTTGCATGTGGGACCTTCTCCTGATCTTTCAGATGGGAAGGGCTCCTTGAACACGGGGAGTATATACAAGAGGTTTTAAAACCATGCTCGGTGCTTTAACGTTGACTTCGTTCCTGGAGGGAGAATTTCCTTAGAATTTTTAACGGAAACTTGGTGAGTGAAAACCACAGATGGATCGTGCAGCACTGGCTCTCCCCTTACTCTTGACTGTTTCAAGGACTGGCCTCTCCAGACATGTCCTAAGTACATGCATGTAACAAAGTTTAACTTCATGCATACTGAAATAACGTAGAAAATACAAGAACGTGAGCGCGTATCTAAAATGGAAAACAGACTCCAGGGACACAGAAGTGAACATCAATTTCTGCTGCAATAAAAAGGAAGGGGCAGACTGGGACAGCATGATACAGGGGGCAGCGCGAGTGGCCTTTGCCAAGATCCTCAAGCTGCAGCCATGCCCAGACGGGCATGGTGCCGGGCACTAGGCTTGTGTGCCCACGTAAGACTACCTCCTCCCATGTCCACCCTTGCTGTGAAGCAGCGAGCACACACTCCCTGCTCACAGAATCCCTGTTCTCACTCGAGTCGGAGTTTATGCACCTAGAACCAGAACCGGGGTGATGGGGTAACCCAGCTTCCTCTGCCTGTGCTCCCACCAGGTGCCTGCAGCACTGCCCACACCCTCCAGCACTGCCCTGAGCTCAGCCTCCAGCAGGGCACATCGTCGCTGACCCCGCTGGGTGTCCAGGAGACAGGGCACATCATCGCTGACCCCGCTGGGTGTCCAGGAGACAGGGCACATCATCGCTGACCCCGCTGGGTGTCCAGGAGACAGACAGCCCATCTTTCTTCAGAGTGGCAGTAAACCACCCGAGGGGCCTCACCAGACCTCCCAGCCACAAGGAAGCTGAAGCCAGACTCTGACTTGTTGCAGACCGAGGGTAAAGTATATTAATAACTATTAACAACACAACACCAAGAATGTAGGAGAAAATAGGTCAAGCGGGAGGCAGAAGCGCCCACCTTAGTCTTTATGGAAAATCGCCAGGGAGCAAATCACCAAGAGAATTCAATGCAAATGAAGCCAAGCTCTTTCTACTGAAAAACCTTAAGCTTGAGGGAGGGGTCAGCAAATAGAGGAATCCAGTAAATGCTGAAGGACTGCTTAGTGCCTGCCCCTGTAAACAGTTAAGGACTGCCTTAGTGCTTCAGGGTGAATTCCAGCTGGTACCACGTCTGCCTCATAACCTGAAGTAGCATTCCGTTTATAACAAATATTTAGTATGAACTTGGGCTTCCCATACTGACCCAGGACTGTGGTGTGTTCCCTAAAGCCTCCACGTCCTCTCTTCTCTTCACCAAAAATCCTGAACGGTGGCCAGCCTCTCCATTTCTCTGACATCCGTTCCCACCCAGGTCTCTTCCTAAGCACGGCCGTGTGAATGGTTTTGTTACTGTAAAAAGCGATGGCACAGCAAATTCCTAAGACACCTCTGAAGGTGCGAGCGTAAAGATACAGTAAAGGCGGCGGTTTTACATTTACCACTAACAGGTTTTAAGGAGCTCTGGTGGCCTGGTGGTTAGTTTTGCTGCCGACCGAAAGGCAGGCAGTTTGAATCCACCCTCTGCTCTGAAGGAGTAAGATGGGCAGTGTCTTCCCATGCAGCCTGGAGCTTCTGAAAACCGGCTGCAGGGTCCACCGGGAGTCTGTTCCGACTCAGCGGCACACAGCAGGGCTTACAAACAAGCAGCAAAGCCCGAGGCTGGGCGGTGGGGGTGGGGAGGGATGCCCCAGCTGGGAGGTCTTCAGATCTACTGCGAGCTCTCTGAGGCTGGACACTGAGGACGGAAGAACGGACACCTCTGAGCTGTGGTGCTGGAGAAGAGCACTGAGCCTCCCCTGAATGACCAAGGGAACACAAGTCTTGGAGAAGGTGCAGCCGGAGGGTTCCTCAGAGGCAAGGATGGCAAAGCTCCGCCTCACATACTTCGGGCACGTTCTAGAAGTTACTACTCAGAAGGGGACACCATGCCTGGGAAGGGGGAGGGTCGGCAAAGGAGGGGAAGACCGTTAGCCAGACGGGTCGGCCTTGTGACTGAAGCAATGTGTCAGCAGCGTGAGGCAGGCACAGACAGGACAGGGTCGCCAGGACTCCTCAGTGGCATCTAACAACTTGGTGTGCCAACCCTTAGCCAGGTGGGGTTCATCAACTGTTGGTTTTAGTTTGGTTCCTTAAACCACACACGGCCGCGTGTCTCACTTGGCAGGGTTTCAAGCCCCCCTCCCTGGCCTGTGCTGGGGCCCAGCTCCCTGGAGGAGAGCCAGTGGCCGGCCTCCGGCTGGACGTGCTCACCAGGCCGCGTGCCGGATTCTCCCGAAAGCAGTCAACTGCGGTCTGATGTTTCAGAAGGACGACAGAGATGCTGAGTCAGGTCAATTTAATGACTGTCCTTACAAGGACAATCAGCCTCGACGTAATCTCACGCATCTCTGTCCCCTCCGCGTGAGGCCGACGGCGAGAATCAGGACTTGTTCGAGGCTTCGATTTCTTTCCATATCGCAGCCTCGATCTTTGAAGTATCGTATTCCCTCATCATATCGAACTCGAGCCACGGCCGACTCCACTTCTGAGCCTCTTTGAGCTGCTCTTCAGTTAAGCACAGGTCAAACCGGATGCCCTGGACGTTGAACTGCGGGCGCTCCCAGCGTTTGGACCAAGGCTTGGGTTTCATCTTCACTTTCAACTACAAGACAGGAGGGGAGGACAGTGAGGCCGTGTGAACTTTCATTCCGTTGAGTTCCCAGGTCCCACGTGCCCCCCGCCCCATCCTACCGTGTTCACGGGGACCTCCCCGCTGGGATCGTGCTCCACGGGCTTCATGTCCACGTCGAAGGTGCTGTACTCGGGCAGCGCGTCCCTCAGGTACAGCAAGCTGCTGTCCAGCCGCTTCTCCAACTTCACGACCTGGATCTCCTGAATCCGAGGATTATAGAGCTGAAAGCAAATCTCAACACCTTAATAAAAGAGACGATAATCTCCTGTTAATAGACATCCAGATTCCTGCATATGAATATATGACAGTTAAATTATTTCACAAATAAACTAGACGGGTTTGCACATAGGAAATGCCACTGAAGTTTATGATGAGATAAAACCAAAATCCACTTAAGAAATCTGAGTGTGAAAGACAAAAAGTTTAAAGACGTGTATTTCAGAAATCCACCGACCTGACGAGTATGAGACGGAGGGTGTGTACGTCATTGGTCACTTTCATGTTCTGTTTACTCCCCACTGTTTAAACCCAGCTGTCATATTAAGAGCAACAGCATGAACAAGAACTTGTGAGGACAGCCTACAGCTTGCAGGGCTCAGCAGTCAGGATGGGTCATCTGTTACCAATAAACACTTCAGGGGAAGGGCGTTTTCTGAGGTCTCCTGAGAGAATCCCAGGGTAAGGTCTGCTAGGAGCTGTGAACAGCAGACGGAACCCTGTCCTGTCCGTGCCAGCCTCACCATCTCCAACACGCAAGTCACTCCACCTGGGTGAGGGTCTTCCTCTCCTTCGCTGTCCCTCCCCCTTCCCAGGCGAGTTCTGGAAAGTCCGAGAGAGGCTGCTTCCCCATCCTCGTCTCCGGGGAGCACTCTGGCCGCACTTGTCTAAGACACAGCCGTGTGTTCTTCTGTCAGGGCGTGGGATGTTCAATGCTCTTCTCCACCACCACCGCTCAGAGGCATCAATTCTCCTGTCATCCTCATTCCCTGTCCAGCTTGGCAGATGTGCAAGTGACTGAAAACACCATGGCCTGAGTCAGGCACACCTCAGTCCTCAAACTGACATCACTGCTCTTCAAGAACCTGAAGGGATCCCTGACTGCAGACTTTCCCAGCACAATACCATTGTCTAGAAAACTAAAAACGAAGACATGAAGCCCACCTTGTCCTTCAATAATATTCCTGAGGATAAACGTAGCTCCCAGGCCCTTCCCGGATCGCTGGATGCAGATGCCCAGAAACTTGCTGATCTTCCCACTGGCGTATCGGTCTGCGGAGGTGACACGAAGGATGCTTCCTACAACACAGAGAGGAAATCACGGGATGCAGACAGAAGACAGGGTCTCCAGGTCAAGTCCTCAGCTTCCTACACATCTCAGTCCAGGGCTAGGAAAGTAATTCTTATCTGTACAACTCCTATCTGTGGAAAAACATTTTCCATGGCAAGAAAACAAAACTGGTAAGGATTAAACTGCCCCCACCCCACACACCCACAAGCCTGCAGGAGTCTTGACCCCTAGAGCTATGGATGGAATCCCACGTGCTCTCACCTCTCATTAGCATGACCAGTGCTTGAGGCCACTTCTGAGATGAGAGGAGCCCATGAACCCAGACCTAGAGAAGCAGAGCCCGTCCTCCCAGCCAGGCCAGAGTCCGGCCACCTCAACTGAAAACCCATTTCCTATCATTACTGGTGGAGAGCTGTGGTGTCTCTCCTTTCAAATCCACCAGCGTCCTCGGATGGAAGGGCAGTCTCCCCCCAGGGAATTACAGCCTCAGGAAAGCCCCTGGAAGGCCAGCTCTGAGTCCATTCCAACTGTTTCTTTTTCTTCTTTATTCTAAGGAGTGAATGTTTCTGTGGTGTTACTGCTCATCTCTGGGGCCTTTTATCAGGCTGCACACTGAGCTTTGTTGCCAGTTGAAAGGGCAACAAAGGGCCTACAAGATCCCTAAGCTCTGTGGGATCAGTAACCCTGGCTGATTTGGGGGTTTGAGTTTTACTCCACATTGTCAGCCATGCTCTGCAAACCTCTCTACTGTGCTCCGGTTAGACTGGCCCGAAGCAACAGCTGGGCTGGATCGAGTCCTTCTGGCCCGGGTTCATGGAAGCTGAGTTATCAGTCCTTCACCTTAATTCCTTCCCTTCCCTCTTCTTTGTTTCCAGGTGCAGGGAGACCAGTAGCTGCACCTTGCCTATCTGGCTGCAAGCTTTTAAGAGGTGACACTCCCCAAAGTAGAGCGCAGAACAACTGTCCCCAGGGACTATGTTCAGAGAGGTGACCTTGCCACGCTTGACACTACAGTCCCACGGCCCCAGAACTCCCTCTCGGGGTGGCTAGTTAGGGAGTTCACATGACTCAGCCCCCACGGCAGTGCCACCACCACCTCGTCCCTGGCCATGCTTCCCGCAGAGACTAATGTGCGTGCAGAGCCATCGTTTGCCAAGCACGTCCATGGCAGTGCGAGTCGGTGCATCATGAAGCCATGAGGTTCCGAGACCGACGAAGGCAAGACCTTCGACCCAGCGATCAGAGGCGCGTTCAGTGCTGGTACTGACCCACGTAGAACTCCGGGATGTGTAGCACCTTCCTCCTTTCCAGCATGTCTTTTCTCTCTATTTGAAATTTCAGCGGATTTGTTCTTCCTCTGGGAGGAATGAATTCGGGACTCAAGAACCTACAGGAAACAGTCAAACAAAATTAAGAGACTCTTAGAATCAACACTGTTGCTTTAACAAATGAAAGAATGAGATACTGTTTATTCTTATTTCTCTAATGAGGTTGGATTTTTTTTTTACATTTGTTGTTAAAACTCCTGCAAATAGCTACCAGTTGGAGTACTTGCCAGATGGTGTGTTTAAAGGTTTATTGCACCTGGAAAGCACACACTAGGGAACCTCGGCGGCCTAGTGGTCAGATGGGCTGCAATCCTGAGGGCATGGGGTTTGAGGCCACCAGCTGCTCTACTGGAAAAGGATGGGCAATCTCCTACTGTGCAACTGTTGTTGCTGTTCTTATGTGCCGTTGAGTCGCCTGCAAGTCAACTCATAGTGACTTATGTGCCGTTGAGTCGCCTGCAACTCATAGTGACCCTGTGTACAGCAGTCCTAAAATCTGCCCTATCCTGTGCCAATGTCGCCATCTCCGACAAACCTAGCCCCATTACCCCAGTCACTGAGTCAGTCCATCTCATCGTGGGCCTTCCTCTCCTGCACGGTCCCTCTCTAAGGACTGGTCCCTCCTTGCCACATGCCCAAAGCATGTCAGAGGAAGCTTCAGAATCCTTGCCTCCAGGGAGCACTCTGGCTTCACCCTCTCCAGGATGAACCTGTTTGTTCTCCTAGCAGTCCATGGAACATTGAACACTCTTCTCCAGCACCACAGCTCAAAGGCATCAATTCTCCTTCTATCCTCCTGCCTCTGAAAACCTGCCAGAGGTTCAGCTATGGGTCAGTTCTAACTTGAAGGCACAAAACAAAACACAAAAACACAGCATGAATGAGAGCACTCTGGTAGCGGAATCCCAGTGCTGACCCAAAGGCCGAGGGCCTGGTGTGTGGAGTCAGCAGCTCTGAGGAGAGGGACGGGCAGGCTCCCCCATCTATAACTCAGCCGTGGAACCCAGAGGAGAGCTGGGGTGAGTCAGACCCAGTGCAACAGCGGTGAGCGGTGAGCAAGTGAACTTCAAGCCCGCGGCCGTTCAGAGGCTGTCCATCACACGGGAAGAGAACCAGGAACAAGCAGGGAGGTCCGGGGCCCTGGTAGCCTCCCTCCAGTTGAAGGAAGGGACCCTTGAAATAGCCAGATGAGTGCAGCACCGCAGGGGGCACTGAACGGTGGGCAGGTGTGCCTGCGGGCACAGGCCCCAGCCCGGTCTGTGCATGCCACAGTCCGTGATGCTGGAATAGATGGAGACACGGTCTGCACGCCGCAGTCACAGATGGAGACACGCAGCCCACCGCCCTGTCCGGTTGAGTGACCACCAGTCAACCCTGACCTGAAGCAACCCTGAGTGCAGGGCCATGCCCCACACCACGGCAGTGACCCTCCCAAGCCGGGGCCCAGGCCTGTCTGCAGGGCCTCTGGGTGGCTTTGAACCCCTAACCTTTGGGCTAGTCGAGCACTTAGCTGTTTGCAATGCATGGCGTCTGCCGCCTACGACTGTGAGTGGCCGCTGTGCAGAGCGGAGCCGACCTCTAGGTGACCCTCGGCGGTCTTAGGCCGGACATGGAGGCGCGTGCCCGGGGAGCAGCTGCAGGATTCGAACCCCTGGCGCTGGGGCTGCAGCGCGCTCCCCCTGCGGGCCCGAGCCGACCTGCTGCGCGCAGCGCCCGGGTGGCCGCCCCCGGGATCGAGGGCCCGGATCGCCCGCCCTCAGCCTCCCCTGCGGCCCGCTCACCTCCGCCCGGAGCGCACGACCGGGCGCTGGTCGGGGATGACCGGCTTCGGCGGGGGCTGGAAGGCGCCGGGCCCCGCGGCCTCCGCGCCGGACCCCGTGCTCCGCGGCCTCCCCGGCCGGCGGCACAGGCTGGCTCCCGGCGCGAGGAGCGGGGTCCCGGCCGCGCGGAAGCCCCGGGCCCAGCCCGCCGCCGACATGCAGCCTCCAGCCACGCGGGCCGCCATGTTCGCCGCTCCTCGGGACTACAACTCCCAGGAGGCAGCGCGGCGGGGACGCGACCCTGCGCGCCGACGGGGGCTGCAAGTGGACAAAAGTGTTAGGTTTTCGCCCGCAACGCTGTTTCCCTACACCTGACTTCCTGCTTTTTTTTTTCATTGTTTTTGAAAATTTATTATTAATGTTAATGAACATTTACAGAGACTTTGGATTTCCATTCATTGTTGCCCTCTTCTCCCCTACCAACCCTCCCCCCCTAGTACCACCCTCTTGGAAATGTAAAAGAAAAATTCTTTCATTGTATTACAATCCTCTCCCAGGTCCACTCCACTATGCAGCCTTTGTTCTAGACTCCTGTCATGACAAAAATACCTAATCACATATCCCTTTTAAACAGTTTCCTCCCTCATCTGTTTCAATGCAGTAGACATTATTGAACGCATCTTTCTCAGTCTCTCCTCAACCGAGGTTTTACAACAGTGGCACCATGCAGTATTTGTCCTTTTGTGACTGAGATACCTCACTCAGCATAAAGTCCTCCACCATTTGGAATAATATTGCATGAGTTCCTTGTTTTTCAATGCAGCGGAGTATTCCATTGTGTGAATATACCACAGCTTCTCTATCCATTCGTTTGTTGATGGGTACCTGGATTGTTTCCAACTCCTTGCTATTGTGAGCAAAGCTGAGATAAACATGGGTGTGCGTATGTCTGCTTGGATGTCAGTTATGGTCTCTTTGGGGTATATTCCCAGTAGTGGAATTGCTGGGTCAAATGGTATCTCTATTTGCAACTTTTTGAGAAAGCACCACACCGCCTTCCATAGGGTCCTACTGCTTTGACCCGAATGTTCTAGAAAGAGCATCTGTTCTTCCACGAAATGCTAAATCTACACACGTCCACAGGGATGCCTGTTCAGCATTAAAATCCCATCTTCCACCACGTTCCTCTGACCCTTTCCCATCATATCTATTGCCCTGATGGAAGGAGGGCCGCAGGTGGCTGCAGTAATGGACGTGCCTTGTGTCCTGTGGACACCGGAGGAGGGAGGGGGAGGGGTGAGGGAGAGGAGGAGGTGGATGCTTGGAGGAAGAGGAGAAGAATCTGGATACGATGGGCTGGCTGATTGTAGCACTGTCGTTGTGATTATGTGCTGTCCACTCAGCGGACTCTCTGGTGGCTTTTCAAAGGCCGGCGCCTGTACCCTTCTCCCAGGGAGCAGCTGATGGCTTTGAACAGTGGGATCGAGCATGTCAGAGACAGTGAGGGGCACAGGACAGGGTGAGGCTCAGATCACCTGTCATTCACGGGGTCACCTAGCAACAACAGTGAACAGTCTACTGTTTGTCCTGCAGCGAGGCATGACCTCACCCCGCTGCACTGACGTGACTTAGCTGAAGAGCGGTCAGACTCCGGAATTCTCAGCGCATCAGCAACACATGTAGGAGGACGAGAAATCGGTGGAGAACTGTCTCTCCTGATCATATTTCATAGGGGACATGTGAGAATCAAAACAAAATTAAGAAAACCGACGCCTACACGGTATTTCCCAGCAAGCGCCCTGTTTCAGTTCGTCCTATAAACTGGGTCAGGAGTTGAGCAAGACCCGTGGGCAGCTGCTGAAGTCACAAGTGAAGTTCAGGGGGAAAGATACACTATTGTTCGACATAGAATCTACCTCCCTGGATGCTGGCTTGGTCTTGACACAGGGCAGCTCTTCACGGGGTTCCTCAGGGTATAAATCTGTCTGTGAGGAGACTGTCCAGCTTCCTCTCACGTGGGAGCTGTCAGATGCACGTAAAGCAATTGGATCAGTGAGCCGTAGTTTTCTTCTTACCTTCCTCTGCCAGCAACACTCAGAGACTTCCTCCTGGGTTCCTCCTCTCACTTTCACTGCACCTTAGTTTTTTCAATGGCATCCTTGCTCTTAAGCCCTTTAAGCCCTTGGTAGCAAATTTGCTAGATGCAGTATGCCTTCCAATTTCTTGATCTCTGTATCATAAGTGTTGTCTGTGGTTCAAGGTGAAGTAGAATCCTGAGCCACTCCGACCTTCTGTCCTTCTGTCACGAGAACTGTCTGTCCAGCCCTGAGAACTCTTGTTGTCTTGATGTTGAGATGCCATCTGTGGTGGCAGCTGTCGCCTTTGAGCTCCTGCACAAGGGTGTCAAGTCCTGTTCCTCTTCAGCAAGCAAGGCTGTGTCATTCGCGTAACACAGGTGGGTGATGGACCTTCAGTCCTGAGGCCACATTCTTGTTCACGTCGTGCAGCTTCTCAGAGTCTTTGCTCTGCGTACAAGTTAAATAGGTATAATGAAAGGGCACAAATCCGGGCACACACTTTTCCTGATGAAACGGTGCAGTACAATAGCTTCTTAGTCTGTGCATAAGATTCTCATGTTGTTGTTTTGTGCCATCGAGTCTGAACTGCCCCATAGCTGACCCTCCAGACGGTTTTCAAAGGCAGTAGAATGAATCACGCGGGAGGAGATTGCCCATCTGCTCCCTCAGAGCAGCTGGTGGATTTGAACTGTGTGGCTTTGGGATTGCAGCACAGCTTCTTAACCCCTCGGCCCCATGAGCACAAGTAAGTGTTCTGGGATTTCCTTTCTTTTCAGAGCTAAACATAATCTATCGTGATCCACACAGTCAGATGTCCTTGCATAGTCCATAAAACGCAAGTAAACATCTTTGTGGTGCTCTCTGCCTTCAGCCAGGATCTGTCTAACATCAAGCAGTGACATCCCTCCTTCCACAGCCTCTTCTGAATCCACATAGTATCCGCTGTCTGTCTTTCATTTGGCCTGTTACATATATACTGAGTGGATATTCACAGGGGAAACTCAATCAAGCCATCATCTCTGCCTCCAAGGAGCACTCTGCCTGCATCTTCTCCAAGACAGATCTGCTTGTGCTTTTTAGATATTTTGGAAATTATTAGCCAAGAATTATTTGTAATTTTAAGAATGAAACAGCAAAATGAACTTTGAAGAACATATGCGAGGCAGCACCAGCAGATCATATGATAATCTGGTGGGAAACCAAGAGAATGTCCCCCCGAAATCAAGACGCCAAGATCGGATCTCGGCCAGCGCTCGAGTGTGGGCTCTCCTGCTCCCCGTCCCAGTGACGTGGGGGCGGCCCATGGGTTGTCAGAAGAATCATCGTCAGTACCTGTGCTCCAGAAGTGGTCCACCAGCAACAATCTAGAACTAACTCCCACCACATGGCCGCGTCACTGCCACCCGCCATCTGGGCAAGGAAAACATGTTTTGCTGATGGTATAAGTCAGAATTGACTCAATGGCACACGGCAATAACAAGCTATTATTCCACCGGCTTTGGGGAAAATTCATAGCAACATATTCTCCTGGTCAACACTTTAAAATACTAGTCTTTAAGAAAAGTCTTTAACTCTGTGGATTTTTATTGTTGATGCTATGTGCTGTCGAGTTGCCTACAACTCACAGCGACCCTGTGTACAGCAGCTCTGAAGCCTGCCCTGTCCTGAGCCAGTCTCACTGATTCAGACAAACCAACCCCCATTGCCCCAGTTACTGTATCAACCCATCTCATCCAGGGTCTTTGTCCTCCGCGCTGTCCCTCCACTCTTCTGAGCATGATGTCCTTCTCCAAGGATCGGTCCCTCCTGGCTACATGCACAAAGTATGTGAGACAGAGTTTCAAGGCCCTATCCTCCAAGGAGAAACTTGTTTTTACCCTCTCCAAGACAGAGCTATTTGTTCTCCTTGCTGTCCATTTAATACCCTTCCCTCTCCAGTACCACAGGTCAAAGGCAACAATTCCTTTTCTGACATCCTTTGCCATTGTCCAGCTCTCTGATGCAAAGCAAGTAATTGCAAAGACGGTGACCTGGATCAGGTGCACCTTAATCTCTAGACTGACATTGTTCTCAGGACTCTGGAGAGGTTCCTGACAGAAGATTTTCCCAGTCTAATTTGTCTTTTGATTTCCTGACTCCTCCTGCCACGAGTGTTGATTGTGGAGCCGAGCAAGCTGTAATTGTTAACAATCTCAATCTCTTCTCCATCCATCATGGTGTTGCCAATTGGCCCAGTGGTGAGAATCTTTGTCATCTTGACATTGACCTTCAATCCATATTGAAGACTTCAGTCCTTGACCTTCTGCAGCAAATGGCTCGTGTGCTCCTTAGTTTCAGCAAGCAAGGTTATGTAATCTGCATATCAAAGGTTGTTGATGAGTCTTCCTCCAATCCGGATGCCACACTCTTGCTCATAAAGTCTTGCTTCTCAAATGATCTGTTCCATGTATAAATTTTAAAGGTATCACAGGGTGCGTCCCCGATGCACTCCATTTCTAAATTTGCACCAAGTTAGTATTTTTATTTAAAAAAATATTTTAGTCACCTGGTTCTGAATTAGCACAAGACCATTCAAAAACCAATTAAAAGTCATAAGATGCCAGCCTTTAGTACTGATGTTTCTCAGACAAGTCTACGGGTGGGGAGAGCAGGAATATAAATGTTGCCATTATGGAGAGAGAATTGTATAGTGAAGGAATCTTGGAGGTCAGAACCACCTCCCAGCTGACCCTGCAGTGAGTTTTGAGAGGCTGTAATTGCACAGGAGAGCTCCCCTCCTCCCTCAGAGAGGCCTCTGCTGGCCTTGAACTGCCGGAGAGAAGGCACCTTTGAATTAGCAGCCATACGCCCAAGGACGAGGCCCCAGAGCTCCCTACCGCGTGCATGGATACGGACACTTTATCATTATCCTCCTGGAGGTGTGCTCCATCTGTGCATGAGACACGAGGTCCCCCGACACACGCAGGACGCCGTCGTGTTTGCTGTGAACTATATTATCTATCACTCTG